GTTACCTACCCCAGAAGCCACATGCCCCCAGAAGCAACATGCCCCCAGAGGAAACTACCCCAGGAGGAGTGGGAGCGAGGGGGTGCAGCACCGCTCCAAGAGGCAGATGCCACCTGCAGTGCCACCTACCCTTGCTGTTACCTACCCCAATAGGCACCTTCCCCTACTGGTACCCTGGTACCTACCCCGGGAGGAGTGGGGGCGAGGGGCTGCAGTATCGCCCCAAGAGACAGATGCCACCTACCCCACTTTCGTCCTACCCCTATTGCACCTATCCCGGAAGCCACTTCCCAAGTAAAAACCTACCCCAGGAGGAGTGGGAGCGAGGGGCTGCAGCACCGCCCCGAGTGGCAGGTGCCACCTGCTCCGGAGCGACTGGGAGTCCGGAATTGCCCCGCAGGTCATCCTAAAGTACCGCGGATGCGCGTTCCCTTCGATCTCCGCCAATCCTCCCCCCACCAAGCCTTCCCCCCACCCCTCAAGCGCCTCCTCCCCGCCATCCGCTCCCCCCGCGGAGTCTTCTCCGCCGATCGCTACCCCCGCTGGCCGCGGAAGCGCGGAGTAATCCACCGCGTCCGCTCCCCCTGCGCCGGGCCCTCCGCCGATTGCGAGCGACTGGAGGTCTTCCGCCAATGCTTGCGCGGCTGCTGCTTGCGCCATGGCGGGGGGGGTTGCCGCTGCGCCTGTGGGCGGGGGACCAAGCGGAGCGGGAGCCTGTGGGGGAGGAGCGCCGAAGGGGGGAGGCGCGCCAAAGGAGGGCGCAGCGGGAGGCTGTGATGCAGGCGCGCCAAATTGCGCGGAATGTTGCGCGGTCGGGGGGTATCCGGGGGGAGGGGGAGGTTGGGATCCATAAGGCGGAGGCGCAGGGGCGGAAGAAAATGGCGGAGGGGGAGTAGTAGGTGCGGATCCGTACCCCGGGGGAGGGCCCGTTGGCGGAGCACCTAGGGGTGGCGGAAATGCGGGTCCCTGCGCGCCTGCGCCCATTGGAGGCGGACCCGGGGGAAGAAACGGCGCGGTACCAGGCGGCCGCGCGGCAAACGGCGGAGGCGGCTGCGCGGAACCCGCCACTGGGGGAGGTCCTGGGGGAGGGCCAGCTGGTCTTCCGAAAGGAGGCGGACCGGGGCGCTGCTGGAAGGGGGTAGGCGCAGCCGCTGCGGGGGGAGGTTGGCCATAAGGAGGGGGACCAGGGGGAGGCGCACCCGCCAAAGGCCCGTTCGCTACCCCTGGCGGGGGACCTACCGGCGGCGCACCTCCAAACGGCGGACCTGGCGGGCGGGCGCCTGGTCTATTCGGCGGAATGAACCCCCCAGGCGCCGCTGGTGGTTGCGCGCCGGGCGGAGGGCCCGTCGGGGGTTGCGCGAAGGCCGGCGGAGGGTGACTGGTGGCGGAAGGCGGAGTAGGCCCTCCGAATGGGGGAGGCGCGGAGCCGTGAGGGCCCGCGGGAGGAGCAGCGAAGGCTGGCGGCCCCGCGAACGGCGGAGGGCCGCCGAATGGGGGGCGCGCGCCGGCTGGCGGAGGGCCGGCGAAGGGCGGAGGGCCCCGCGGATAGGGGTGACCTCCAGGCGCACCGGATGACATCGGGACGCAAATGAATTACCTAATGAGCGATTATGCGAATTCAATGCGCGAGAGTAACGGAGAAAGCGATCCGTCTATATGAGCTCAGATCTCTAGGATATGAGATCTGCGAGACAATCGAACACCCTAATTTCACAAACCGAATTCAGCTACGATATTAAACGCCAACACGTTCCTCCCAACAGCCGATCGTCTATTCTAATCGCATCTAAGCGGTGTCTGGTAGCCTGCTGAAAGAGCTTGATGAGCTGAGCAGATAAACGGATCGGCGAAGGAACGAGCATGGCAGTGTGCGACCGAACAACGAACGGCGTGAATGGGTGGTGGAGGATCGACGGCGGTCTACACTAGATCCGTCGGTGGTGGTGGTGGTGGCTCATCGCCAACTGTGCTTGTCCTTCCCAAATCCAAGGATTCAGCTTGCCTCCACGGCAGTTCCCCAAGACGAAGCCGTCTCAGGCGAAAATCGTTCGCTCCTTAGCATAAGTGCATTGAAGTACGTTCGGTTACACTTGCCACTACAATCTTTCGCGAAGGAGATGCCACTGTTTTTACATCGAAGGCTTCGTTACTGAACATGAAGCTAATTATTGGAGGCTGATACATTTTGAGTGAATCTAGATGGTGAAAGATGCACAGGTAAAGACACATAAATTCGTTTCCATAGCATCTACATTAAAACACAATGGCATACATACCATGCCTTTCATACAAACCACAATAGCCTCGAGGTGAGGCACATCTAACTTGCAGGAAAACACCATGACCTGCTAGGGCCTGTTTTGGCCGGCTTGGGTTCTTCCTCTTTATTCACTCCCACTTCCGCGAGGAGAGTGAGAGGAGAGCATAACTTTGCTCCTCTGCTCCTAAGCTGGGCGCCAATCCGCCGTTTTCTGAAGCTTCAGAATCTCGAGCTTTACACGCCTTCCTCCACGTCGTCCACCTCAACAAAGACTTCGCCGCTATCATCGTCAAAGAACGACGTTACCTCAAACTTCGGGTGTTTCGCTAGCCACTCGCTGATCGCAACTTGCACGTCAGCGGAGTCGCGCTGGTTGTCGTTCTCTTCGACGGCATGGATTAAATCCTCCCAGCCACTTCGTGAACGGAGCAGGGCAGCACGTGCCGACGCCGCCACTTCTTCCTCTAATCCGCCGTCCAGAATCATTTCTGCAGATTCTTCTGGAACGACACGTGGCACATTGAAGACGCCTTGCAGGTTCAGCTCCAGGATCTCGCCTTCGCCGCCGTCAAGAATACCATTTCCGCCATTATCCGAGGATTCCGCATCGTCAGCTGGCGATCGGAGAACGGAGAAGGCATCTGGTACGCGGACGGCTTCCGCGACTGACACGGCGAGAATGAGAGCAATAGCCAACACTGATAGACACGAGTAGCGAGCCATGAGCGTGGATGAAGGATGAGCTGGTTTGATGGGTCTGCAGCAGAATGTTGAGCGTAGGATGAAGCTGGTAGGCTGTGAGTCTGCGAAAGCTTGAGCAGAATATGTCTGAGATTGTCCTGGAAACCGAGTCGATCACTCACAATAAGCAAACACCGCTTAGGTTCCGGCTAAATACAAGCGGCGTGCACTCGGACAAATGCACACGAGAGGGAGAGGAGGGAAAGCTGGGATAAATCGAGAGGATCGACGAGGAACGCAAACGAAGAGGCAGCGTGGTGGCCGAGGTTGGTAAGGAAGTTCGAATTCCAGAGTGGGAAGATATCCGATAGCTGTGATTCCAATACAAAACTGCATGCACAAGCTCCTTCTCGAGCTTATCGTCTTGCCAGCTGCACCGCACCACTTCTTTGCTTGCGAATAGGAGAGGAGGAACGAGTTCTTGGGATTGCCGCAGAGACTTGCTTTGCTTGGCACTTCAACGAGCACTTGGTAGGAAGAGGCTGCGATTTCAGCTCGCTTGGATGCACAAAATGCGGCTGGCGTTCGCACCAATAAATCCACGCAGAATCAAGCGCGCACTGGGGCTCCCCGCGCTAGTAAGGACGCGTCACAATTGCGACATCGAGGAGGATCGCGGTCACACACCGAATCTGCGAGAATCGATCTCCTCTGAGCCAGATGTGTCGCGATTGTCTTCAGGTTCGAAAGTTAGCGGGGTTAGAGACCTTTTTAAATGTTTTCAATGCGTTAAGTAGGTTTTGAGTGCGGTGACAGATTGATCTGGAAGGGACATCGCGTTCGGTGACTTGTGTCGGGTCTTAACGAACTTTGACGAAAACGGGATACAAGACACAGCGAATTACTGTATAATCGGAACATCGATCTCCCGCAGGATCGATGTCGCAATTGTAACGCGTCCTAATTTGCTAGCAGCTTGATTTCAAGCTGTCCGCGATATTGCGCCTGCCTTGGTGGCTAGTATTATTGACATGCAACGTCTTGTTTGTTTGAGGTACTGACATCCGTCGGATTCGTCTGGTTATCTTGCTCCCGACCGTCAGATGAAGTGGACCTGACGACGTTCTTTGACTACTCGTCCCTGGTGACCCTCAATAATTGTGTGCGACTGGTGGTGATGGACGAGGACGAGACGTCGCACAACCTGTCGTCGTGGTCGCCATCTGTTATGCACACTGCATGGAAACACATACACCCATTGGGTCTTGAGCCGCCTTATAAAGATGTCATCAATCTCATTTCTATAAATGTGCTCAAAGATGATGAAATGCGTGTGAGACCTTTGTGTATACAGTATCGACACATGAACATAGAAGCCATACTGAAAGAATATAATTTGAATGGATTTATACATTACATATTAATGACACTTTTTGTTAAGTACGTCATTTAACCAGGCGCAAAAATCGCCACCACTTATCATACTCAATGGTACAGTCGAAGGCGGACCAGAAGAAAGAACATTTTATTTGACATGAAGCTGTCAATAGTGACATTTTTTGCCAACAACCAGCCTGATGCCCTAATCCTCTGCACATTGCCGCGCATCGTTCTGGATCACTGAAATTTAACGGCTAGAATATAATAGCTCACTAACCGCTTCAAATTGCACACAATCGTATGACACCGAGTTTACCGACCAGAAAGTGAACTCGTACACTCGCCTGTCGTCAAAAGCTGCTTTTTTTCCTATCTTTCTGTTGCTTTGGCTGGCACGTGTTTCAAGTTCTCGTTGCCATTGCGGAGCAGCTAAGAGGGCTCAAAGCCGCGTAGACCTTTCAGGCAATTAGCTGCGAATGCATCCACGCTAATTCTACAACGTACACGCGCTAAGGGTGTACGCAGGCTGCACGTCGGCGAGAGTTCCGCTACGGACGTTGGTGGGAGTTCCGCTGAAAGGCTGCTGCTAGCGTGAGGGTCATGAGAAGCAGCGAGAACGAGGCAGATAGTTTGAAATTGGGAGGCGGAGCCGAAAGTAGTCACGCAATGGGTCGCGAGTATGGCCGACCGTCGATGCCCTGGCGACTATCTGGCCCCTGGCTCAGGTGTGAAAATACCAGATACGCGTAATTCATGACTGAAACGTGATTGTATGGAAGCCCTTAAGTTCAATTCTTCAGATTATACCCCAATTACGGGGTCGGTTCCGTTTACAGTAACGTCGCGTTCCGTATCGAATGGTGGTGGTTAGGAGCATTACATCTCGGTGATGCGAGCCTCACTAGCAACTGCTTAGCAATTGTGAGAATTGTGTTTAGGACGTAATTAGGAACCGTTTACCATAATTGAAGTGCTTCCTTTCAATGACGTCTGCTTGTGATACTTCCGGTGCTTCCGCTCCCCCATTCCGTTGTTCCCTCCCCTGATTGCACCTTTATCCCCCTCAGTTCTTCCAGCGGCCTGCTTGCAGTGTTCAACGCAGCCTTCCGCAACCTTTAATGGAGTTTCTTGTCACAAACGAAGGGGCCGTCCGTGAAGTGCTTTTCAACCTTCTCCCTCCCTTCCCATTCCTCCTTTCCCTTTCATTTTTGCGTCTGCCTCCCTGCATCCATTCCGCCCTCCACTCATCCCAGAGTGGCCTGACGGTGTTGTCTTACAGCCTGACGTCAATGGCCATGGCGTTTCTCAACAAAAACTTGCCACAACACCACGGCTCACTCACAAGTCCTCACATCCCCTGCGACATCCATCCCTTGGTTCTCCCCATTCACCTTCCCTCTCCCTGGCATCCCACAGCGGCCTGGCAGCAGTATCATACGGCCTGGCGTCAATGGCCAAGGTGTTTTTCAACAAGGGCGTGCTCACAGGTCCTCCCTTACTTTCCCTGCATTCTTATTCTTTCCCCGCTGACCTTCCCTCTCCCCTGCATCCCACAGCGGCCTGGCAGCAGTATCATACGGCCTGGCGTCAATGGCCATGGTGTTTCTCAACAAGGGCGTACTCACCTATTACAAATTCAGCATGACGCTGCTAGCGCTGCAGGTGGGCTCGCGTTGGTTTGCGGCTGTTATCACATTCTAATGCATACTTTTCAACAAGGGCGTAGGTGAGCAGGATGTCCGCGACTGGTTCAGGTCCTAGGGCGTGTTTCTCAACAAGGGTGTCCTCACTTATTACAAGTTCAGCATGACACTGTTAGCACTGCTGGTGTGTGGGCACATGGGTGGTTCAAAGATTCAGGGGTTGGTGCAAGGGTTCAGGAGTTGATTCAAAGGTTAGAGGTCGGTCCAGTAAACGGAATTGTTACAGTTAAAGCATATTCCTCAACGAGGACGCATTCATCTACTACGAGTCCAGCATGCTGCTTTTAACAGTTCAGCATATGCATATTGCTTCCTTCCACTCCACTTCCGCAGGCAACAGCGCTGACTACACCATCAAGTGCTGACAGTTACGCCTGCCTAGAAAGCCTGTCATTCTCCTTCATCTTGTTCTCCCCGCCCACACACTGCTCTCCCCCCCCCCCCCCTCCTCTCCAGATGATCGCCACAACAGCTCTTATTTATGGTTGCGGGAAGCTCGAGTGGATCGCCATGCGCCCATTCTCCCTCTCCACCGCGCGCCGCCTGCTGCCGCTCTCCTTCTTCTATAACGCCAACGTCGCCTTCGCCCTGGCGAGTCTGCAGGGCGTCAACATCCCCATGTACATTGCTCTCAAACGCCTCACCCCCATGGCTGTGCTTATAACGGGGTTCTTCACCGGAAAATCCAAGCCTCCTCTGCAGGTGAGACCCTTGCGCCCATTGCCCTAGTCAGCCTTGGCCCTGGCGTGTGTGGAGTCTGCAGGGCGTCAACATCCCCATGTACATTGCCCTCAAACGCCTCACCCCCATGGCTGTGCTCATCACGGGCTTCTTCACTGGCAAGTCCAAGCTTCCTCTGCAGGTGAGACGCTTTTCCCAGGGTTGCACTGGCCAGCCTTCGCCCTGTCGAGTCTGCAGGGCGTCAACATCTCCCCATGTACATTGCTCTAAAGCGGTTGACGCCCATGGCTGTGCTCATAACGGGGTTTTTCACTGGCAAGTCCAAGCCGCCCCTACAGGTGAGACTCACCATGCCCATCCCATTACACCCTCTCCTCTCTCCATCTCCCTCGCCACCTCAGCTTCCTCATTGTCGCTCTAAGAAACATTCCCTTAAACCCCTAGTTCTGTGCCTACATGCTGGCCCTCACGTCGCATCCCTCCCTGTTCTCCCCTCACTCCACCCCTCCTCCCACCCCTCACTCTCTGCATCCATCCCATCCCCAACCCCCTTCCAGGTGACTCTCTCAGTTGCTCTCACAACCTCTGGCTGTCTGATAGCAGCACTGGGCGAAGCGATTTCTCCTTGAACCGAGATGACTTTTGAGTCGACTCAAAAGTCACCTCGCCGGGCGATTTCTCCTTGGACCGCTACGCCTACGCACTCACGTCTCAGCTTATGCTGCACTTTTGAAGTCTGCCCCTAGTTCTGAATCCTTCTCCCCCTCCTTCCTTCCCCAATCTACCTGCAAGTCACCCTCTCAGTCTCCCTCACAACCCTTGGCTGCCTCATAGCCGCTCTGGGCGATTTCTCCTTGGACCCCTACGCCTATGCGCTCGCGCTCACCTCAGTGCTCTGCCAGACCTTCTACCTGCTGCTCGTGGAGCGCTCCAGGCGGAGCAGGGTGAATGAATGGGCACTCTCAATCATCCCCGTTCCGTTTCCATTCTTCCCCCCCCCCCCCCCTCCCTCCTCCCCCCGCCACCCCTCCTCCCACCCCTTCTCCCAATTTCACTCTACTCCAACCCCTTCCAGGTGACTCTCTCCGTATCTCTCACAACCTTTGGCTGCCTGATAGCAGCGCTGGGCGATTTCTCGTTGGACCCCTACGCGTACGCGCTCGCGCTCACCTCAGTGCTCTGCCAGACCTTCTACCTCCTCCTCGTGGAGCGCTCGGGGGCAGAGCAGGGCATCTCGTCTTTTGAGCTCATGTTCTATAACGCGCTTCTCTCGCTGCCGTTCCTGGGAGCTATACTCCTCTGCACCAACGAGCTGCCTACCTCCGTGCCTCTGCTCTTCACCATGGTACAACAATCCCCTTCTCTCTTGCACCAGGTTTCTTCGACATTTGAATCGAGTCGCCTTGTGTCTTTTGTCCGTTGAGCTCATGTTCTATAACGCGCTGCTCTCCCTGCCGTTCCTGGGAGCCATCCTGCTCTGCACCTACGAGCTGCCTACCTCCATACCTCGGCTCTTCACCATGGTACAGCAACGGCATTCCCCTTCTCTCTTGCACCAAGGTGGTTTGGTTTTCCTGTCATCGAATCAAGTCACCTCTTGCCTTTCTGGCGATAACCTCATCGCTGCTGATGCTTTTGGTCCGCAACTACATCATGTTCCTCTGCAGTATTCTCAACTCCCTCCCCTTCCCTCCCCCTTTTGTCGTGAATTACTTCCCCGCTGGACTTAATCCTTGCCTTGTAACACCTTCCGCTTTCCTTTCACTCCTTAGTTTCCTGCTTCCTGTTCCCTGCCTCCGTAGTTCCCTGCTGCCCGTGTCTCAGGCTACCCTGCCCCCTTCCGTGCCTGAGCTCCAATGACAGCAGCTCTGGTCACGGGACCCAACGCCTGAGACCTCGCCCCTCCAGCCCTGGCCATGTTGGTAACGTGCTCCTTAATGCGTCCTCTCTGTTTGACTTCCAGCACCAGCACCTCTGACTGCCTAGTTTCTTGCGCCTTCCATGGTTCTGGACTAACCGCCAGATCTAAGGTGCCCCGCTTCGCTCTCCTCGCGACAACCTCTTGTCCTGCCACCACTTCTCCCTGGTGCTCTACTGTCCCTCCGGACTTGTGCTGCTGACACTGCCGAGCATCCTGCAGCTGCGCTTCATGCCGATTGTGCTGCGCCGACATCAGCTCCTTCGGATAGCTAACTCTCCTCTGCACTGGTACTGCCCACAGCTTCGACTCGTCTGCCTCCACTGCGAGAAACTTTGGCGCACTACCCAATAACACAGTATCCCGCCCATTCAGCAGCTGGTAAGGGGACAGGTTCTTCAGCGCCGCTTGCTTGGCAAACCGATAGCCCACCAGGACCCACCAGACCTGGTCCCAGTTCCTATGCACCCTTAGCATGACCTTCTCCCTCTCTTGCGGTCGCGGGACGCTCGTTCGTAGCTGTCGTTGATCCTGGTACCACCTGTAATGCTGCCCCCTCGCTCCCACTCGCTCGCTTACTACCGCTTGCTCCATTAGCTTCCCCTTTTTCCAGCCCAGGGATTCCTTGGCATCCAGGCATCCTCTACGTCCACTTGACGTATCTCCCCTTTCTCCTGCCCCCAGGTCCCTTCTGCCATTTGCACCACGGTTACCAGCTGCGCCACTGGCTGCATCTGACGCGGGTTCCAAGACAACCCGTCGGCGTGCGGCAGTGTTTTACCTGGCATCTCAAAGTAGAACCCCAGCAACTTGATTGCCCATCGGGCATTCCCTACAGTCAGCTCTTGATTCTTCATCCGCCACAACAGCGGCTGGTGGTCAGTCACCAAGGTGAAATGTCGGCCATGCAAACGAGTGATACCCCACCCTGCTATCAGGCCCTCCTCTTCGTACGTGCAGTAGTTGGCCTCCGTGAGGCTGCAGCTGCGGCTGGCAAATGCTAGCTCCTCACCGCCTATCTCTTGACATGGCACTGCCCCCATCCCCAAGCAGCTCCAGTCGGGGGTGAGCCTAAGCTCCAGCTTCTTCCCTTTGTACCTTCCCAGCTCCTGCAGGTAGATGCCTCTGTACCGCTGTAGTACTTGTCTGATAGCCTCTGCTGCCCCCTTCCCTATGTCCGCTCCCCGTTCCCAATCCTCACTCGGTGCTGCTTCTATGGTCCCTGGTCCCGCCTTTGAGGTTTCTCCTTTGGTTGCTGGCTTCTCAACTGCCGCGTAGGCCGCTTGCTTGCAACCCTGATTCACCCTTCCTTCCTTTGTCTGTTTCTTCCCCTCTGGCCCATTTCGCATTTCTCTGATCAACCACTTCAGTGAAAGTTGATCTATAGCTCTGCCCAAGGCTTCTCTACGCCACTCCTCCCACACCCGGTTGCACTGATGCTGCAGAGGGTGCTCAGGTTTCCTCTCCGGCGCCGCTATCCACCCTGGTTCGAGAATGTCTTCCACACTCCTGTTCTCATCCCTCTCCATCCTTGCCAATCTTGCCCGCAGTTCTCCCTCAGGCAGCACATTCTGCCAGTACCGCTTCACCCTATGATACCTGGCTCCCGCCTTGGCAGCGTCCCAGCTTACGCCATTCCCCAACTGCTCCTCTACTAGCTCTCGCACTGCCCGCACTGGCTCCCGCGCGTCACCTCTCATGTCCACATGCTCTAATACGTAGGCATAGTCCCCCCCTTCTTCTTTCATCCACTTCATAACCTCCATCAGCTTCTGCACCAGCCCGGTACGCTTATCTTGCGTTCCTCTGCCTTTTCCCGCCCTCGAGGTACTTTGACATTCCCACCCTGCCACCAGCAAGTTCACCTCCCCCCAGTCCTTCACTTCCTGCCTTGTAATTTGCCTCGTGTCCCAGTTCCTACTCCGCATTGCCTCCCTCAGCACCTTCTTTGTTAGTTGGGCTGGGTAGCGCTCTTGCAGCAACCGAGCGTGCCTCCATGCCATCTTTCGCACCTCTGGGTCTATCTCCACATAATGCCATCTCTTTATTTTCAGTCCCGCTTCCAGCGCTGCTGTCAAGCCTGCCCCTAATCCCCCGAACAACTCCACCAGCGTGATGCTGTATTTCTCTGAAGTCACTGGTGGTTGCACTGCTTCTGCCTCTGGGCTTCCCCTGCCTCCTCCTCCTATGCCCCCAGCTCTCCAGGCCTTCTTCGGCTCTGTCCTGACGAAGCGTACTGGCAGTTCACCCTGCTCACTGTCCTCCTTCCCGTACTCGGTATAGTATAAGACTCGCTCCTGCCATGTGCAGATCGTTGCTCCCACTTTGTACATAAGCTCCATCCCCAGCAGTAGGTCGTAATCGTCTGACTCGGTCAAGCCACACTGCACCAGAATCTTCGTCTCTCCCTTTTCTCCCGGCCGCAGTGTTATCTCTATGGGCTCCTTGGTGCAAGACATCCACTTTGGTGCTCCACCTTCTGCTGTCATTATCAGCAGTCCCCGGTCCACTGTCTCTAAACTACCTTGCGCCTTTAGTTGTTCTGTTAACTTCCTTCCGATCAGTACATTTTGGGCACCCGTATCCACCACTGCATCCTCCACCCGTATCCCTCTTACAGCTACCGCCTTGGGCTCAACCGCCAGTGCCGTGGCCTGGCACATCAACCCCTCCTCAGGAGGGCGGCACGCGGTCCCCATTCCTCCTGCTCTCTCCTGCACCTTCGGCGTCTTTCTTTCGTAGGTCTTTGGTGCTGCTTTGCCGTCCACTCCTCCATTGAGCAGCCCTAGTTCTTCTCTCTCTCTCACTTGTAGAGCCATCGCTCCATACTCAGCTTCCTCCTCTGATTCTTCCTCGTCTTCCTCCCACGACCGCGATGCTTTCTCAGGGTCGTCTCTGATTTCAGCCTTCCTCATTCGAGCTTTAAGCTTCATCAGCTCGCGTTCTAGTTGCAGCTCCCTGGAGGGCTTCCCTTTTCCTCTCTCACCCTTGCTGTAGCATCTTTCTTCCGTGTGCCCCCTCTTTCCACACCCCGTGCAGATGGGGGTCTTGGGGCAGTTGCGCCTGAAATGCCCCTCTACCCCACACGTGTCACACACAATCCCTACCGCACAATCCTTCCTCACGTGCCCCGTCTCCCCGCACTTGTGGCAGCGCCGTGAGTCCTCTGTTGGTCTCTCTCTACGCTCTTCTTCACTTCGCCTCTCTTCGACAGCTCCCAAAACTGGCCTTCTCCGATCGCTTGGACGGCTCATGTTTACTCCCCGCATTCCTTCAAAGAATCTTCGTCCCTCCTCCACCTCCTTCGCCACCTGATACACTTGCCGCAACTTCGCTCTCATCCCCATAGCGTACAGCCGTGACTTCATATCGTGCATCAGGTCATCCTCCAGGCCTCCCAAGAACTTGGTCACTAGTGTTCTTTCCTCCAGGCAGCACATGTCTTCAGCGAGCTCCACCAATCGGTTGTAGTATGCGAGCAGTGACTCCGTCCTCTCCTCTTGAAGTCCTGGAATTCCAGCATTCGCTCAGCCGAATGTCCGGGGAACTGCTCCTGCAGCATCTCAAAATATCTGTCCGTTATCTCTCCTGCAGGAAAGGCTCCCCGGCGGCACTGCATCAGCAACCCCTGTCTCTCCACTCGGTAATGGGTCTGGGCTTCTCCCTTCAGCGTTTTCCCGAGACCGCGAAAGAATTCAATTGGGTCCAGTCCTTCTCTGTCCCAGCAGTAGCGTAGGTCGTCTACCATCATCATGTAATTCTTGAGCGAGGGCTCTTCTCCTGGTGCCCCAGAAAATCGATCAGGCACCTCTATCAATGGTGCAGCCCAACCCATGCTTCGCCCTGTCTCCCAACTCCAGCCAGGTCGGGGTTCATCTCCTCCCCTCGCCGCCGCGCTCCGATCCGCTGGGTGATGTTCGTAAGCCTCTCCCTCAGATCGTCCTCTTGGCACGTTGCGTACTGGTTCTCCTCTCGGTGCCCCACGCTGGAAGCCTTCCCCTGATCCAGCTCCGCTCCTGTGTTCTGGCGAGTTGCAGAAAGTGCTCGCCGCCTTTTCGCCCTCGTTGTCACCCCGACTAGGTGATTCCGTGACCTTGTCACCATGCTCGACATGGTCGCCCTCCTCTACTCTGAATCGCTGCCTGACTGGTGCTTGTCCACCCCCTTCCATCGCCCTTGCAGGATAACGCTGTCCTGATATGAGCTGATGTGCATGCAGATCAAAATCTGCTCCACTCAAACCTCACGGCCTAGTTACGCCGTAGTGCACCTCCGGGCATTCAGGCCCGTGCCTAGCCTTTTTGCTTGTTTGCAACAAGTCTAAATCCTCCCTCGCAAGAGCTCCGTCAGTTTGCTGTTAGCTTCTCCTAGCTGCTTGCTTCCTTGGTTGGGAAACGAATTGCAGTATTAAGAGAAACAAACAAGCAAAAAGCAAGGAGTCCGAGTGCTACTCCTGCCTACATCTACTCTCGCCTCCTGCCTAGGTTGGTTCCTCCACAAGCAAGCTCCTGTGCACCAAGCGAGTCAGCCGAGCTGCTCGCGAGGGCTCCAAGGTGCTAGCTGGTTCCCACTGGGCTAGCTAGGCATGCACCGCCTTCCAGCCTGGTGACTTCGAAATTGAATTCACAGGCTGGAATTAAATTCGCCTCCCACCATCCACCTTGAATTCGCCTCCCACCAACCACCTCGAAATCCCTCAGCTACTCGGCTCTGAAATTCGGACAGTACAGTACATTCCAAGCACACGAAAGACATTAGAATACAAACAAACAGAATATAGCACAACATTACCTTAGCTGCTGTGCAATTCACACTTAGCTTGCGGCTAAGTGTTAATAGCGCGACACTTTTCTCTCCCATCCTCTTCCCTTCTCTCATCGGCCCTCGCACCTATTCTCCCGTCTATCCCCCGTTCCCTTCTTCCTCCTCCTCCCACCTACCAGTGCGCTGAATTCTGGACGTTCACAGTGGCAGTGACAGCATCCCTAGTGATGGCGCTGGTTCTCAACTACACCATGTTCCTCTGCACCATTCTCAATTCCCGCTGTTCCCTCCTCTCACCTACCAGTGTGCTGAGTCATGGACGTTCACAGTGGCAGTGACAGCATCCCTAGTGATGGCTCTGGTCCTTAACTACACCACTGTCCTCTGCACCATTCTCAAATCCCGCTGTTCCCTCCTCTCACCTACCAGTGTGCTGAGTCATGGACGTTCACAGTGGCGGTAACCGCATCCCTGGTGATGGCGCTGGTTCTCAACTACACCATGTTCCTCTGCACCATTGTCAACTCTGCTCTCACCACCACCATTGTGGGAGTGCTTAAGGGTGTTTTCACAACGGTACGTCCATGTTCACACGTACCTTCAACTGTTCTAAACTGCACCATGTTCCTCTGCACACGTCAAACTCTGCTCTCACCACCACCATCGTTGGAGTGCTCAAGGGCGTGTTCGCAACGGTATGTCCTCTCCTCTGCACGTAGCATCACTGCCCTTACCGCAATTCATCCTCAACTGCACCATGTTCCTCTCCTCCACATTCATTATTTTACACCGTTCCCACCACCTCCGTGGGTGTTCTCTACGGCGTTTTCACCACGATGTGGCCTGTCCTGTCCTGCGCACCTCTATTCATCAAAATTCTTACACGCTCACCACCACCGTTGTTGTTTACAGCCAATTCTGCTGTGCACGTTGCTCTAAACCTTAGCATTGAACTAAGCTACTCACGCCCTAGGGGGAACTGCTGAACCTTTTCCCACCCCACCACCCACATTTCTCCTGAAATACAAGTTGCAGTGTTTAAATCTCCATCAAAGAAATTCACGCTCTGTCCCCTTTCCCCTCAGATCTTCGGGTTTTTCTTCCTTGGTGGTGTAAAATTCCAGTTACTCAATGTAACGGGTCTGTTTATCAACTCAGCCGGAGGAGTGTGGTACTCTATAGCTAAGTACAGGCAGAAGCAAGCAAAGGTCCCCTCCTCACCCGTTCTCCCCACCACTCGAGATCAAGCCCTTGGTTCTGACTCCCTAGAGACAGATCGTCTTATTGAAGCTTCTGAGAAGGTGGTTGATGATATTCCAAGCCGGGAGGACCCTGCTGCTGCTTCATTTGTTGAGCCGCCAAAGCCATTGTAGTGAGCGATTCATTGGAAAGACTAGTGGATAAGAGCAAATGGTACTGCACAGCAACACAGCCTGAGATAAAGGAAACAATGGTTGACATGTGATGGAAAGACATTACTGGGCTGGCCTCTGCCTTGAGTACTGCGTCCATAAATATTTTGGTAAATTAGCAAGATTTTATTTATAAAGAAATATTCAGCACATACAAAAAGTTGGCTTCCTGCACCCGTTACAGGGTCCTATTCACCACCACTTTATTCCCGCTCTTACACCACCACAAGCAGCGGCAGTACCTCGATTCTCTAATAGTTGATATTCCTTGAGCCCTTCCCCACCCGACGTGTCCCTACTCCTTTGAGAACTGACCACGCACGGCGCCATCAGGGTACCGCTTAGTATGAATGTTACCGTAATGCGCACTGGGTTTCTTAACAATCTCCCTAAGAGCCGACAGCAGCTTATCCGACCGATCTTCCTTGTTCTTCCCGAGGGAGCCCTCGCATCGCCACTGCTCGTCGCCCTTCTTCTCGTACTGGCACGGCAGGTCAAGAAGGACGGCGTCGTTCTTCCCCTTCTCCCCCTTGTGCACGTGCGTCTTGGTCGGCGGCATCTCTCCTTTCAGCCGGGAGGTTTTCACCGTGTACTTGACCCACTTGGGCTTGTCGTCATCCCTGCATAGCATTGCAGTAAGAAACAGTAGGTTCTGAAGAATTGTGGAAACGTGGAAAGGGAAAGTAGCCGCACTACAGGATTTGGGAGTTACAAGGGACGAGGGAATAAATCCGCCGATCCTGTGGTGCTTGTACAGGTGTGTAAATGTGCGTGTTACTCACATGTAGATGTTCAGCTTCATGTAGACAACGCCGCGATGGTCGCCGACGGCGTTCTTTGCGGCTTGAGAGTCGTTCTTGGGAACCTCGTTCGCTCCCAGCAGCTTGGCTGAAAAGGTGTCTGTGAATGCGAGGGCGAGCGGGGGAGCGATGATAAAGAGGGTGAGAGTGAGTAGATGAGGAGGTGCGAAGAGATTAGAACGACTCGTTGATGCTGAAGGGATGACATTATCATTAGAATGACATGATGACACATGATGACTCAGAGTCCTGGCGATCGAGCAAGAAATGTGGGGAGGAAGGGAGCGAGGGATCTCACCGATATGCTCGTGACTGCAGTGTGCGATATCGAGCATCGCCGCGAGGAAAGCTGCACAGAAACACACACGAGACGAAACTGAGTTAAAAGTTTAGATGGCGACGTTGATTTCTTCATGGTGAAGAAACTTTTTAGGCGTTCCGAAAAATATTGTCGTTCGCGCATAGTAGTACCTAAGAGTAAGGCGCGAGTCGGAGTGAAGGCCATGATGCCGGCGACAGAAATTCGTCGCTGCGATTATCAGACGGCGGTGGATGAGATTAATGCTGGAAGTCTGAGAAGCAGATGAATGGACGGCGGACGGCCACAGAATAAATTGATTGTTGAGTGAAGATGCACATGAATATATAGTCCATCCGTAAGTCTTGGATGGAGGGACCTAGAGAACGCGCCGCGGCAAGTTCAAGACAGCTCTTGAGAATTGCCTGCCGAAGACGCAAAGTTTAGTCTCACGCGGCGCCATCTCACTCTAACCCTGATGCACCTCATATAATTGCGCCACTTCTTTCGGTAAGTTGCTCGGCTCGGCTCGGGCAAGGAATGCTTGGAGAATAATTGCTCAGCGGAGCCTTCTTGCGGTAATGGCGGAGGAAGGGGAGCTTCTGGCTGCTTGCGTAGGAAATCTGGGAAGTCGGTCTGAAGCGGGGAAACCACCGCTGCCAAATGTCTCCGCGACGGGCAATAATCGTCGTGACGCTGCTTGACAGGATGGTCAAGAAACATCGCGTCCCATAAAAACCGACGTCACCGTTCTATATCTCTATGAAACCGTTTTAAATCAGATTGCAACTCGTGGGATCGCACTGAAGTCCCATATGGCCTGTGCTGATAAAATGGGATTACCGAAAATTGCTCACCGTCCAATAATGGTGCGACTCGAGATGTTTAGCTGGATCTGATAAACAACATAAAACAATGAACATATGGCGTGTGTAGTTAGAGATATATTACATAGAAGGAACTATCTACAACTCCACAAAATCCAGATTAGGAATCCTTAACAGCTCGCTCACTTGTGCGGCACCACCACTGCCAATGCCTCCCTTGCTTTCACCACAACCAATGCCCTCAACTCAAGCAGCTCTGGATGAAAGAAGCTGGCTTCTCAGCCACTCGTTCCCCTCTGCATCCCCCTCCAAAGCCTTCACCTGCGCGGCTACAGCCCTCAGTGCCTCCTCTGCAGTCATTTTGTCGAGAGGCAGCGATGCGAACTCCCGAAGGAATTGCCGTGCTCGCCCCACTCCCTTCCTCTGCTCCTCCCCTCCATCCCTCTTACGCTTATCCCCACCAGCACCACCAGCAGCAGCAGCACCAGCACCAGCAGCCGCACCAACGCCAGCATCAGCACCATGAGCAGCAGCACCATGAGCAGCAGGAGGGGCAAAGTCTTCGAGCTCCTGTGCCTTGGCTCGTGCCATGGCCACCACTTCGGGAGGGAAGTGTGCAAACTCTGCCACGTGGATGCCAAAGCTCTGATCACACGGGCCTGGTTGCACCTGGGGGAGGTGGAACCAGTGACAATAGAAAATCTTTGATATAATGAGGGGAAAACTCTGTGTTAAGGGAGGGAAGCCCTGCTAGGGGAGGAAATTGTCCTATTCTGTCACATGAAAGCCCAAGCTCCGGTCACGCGGGGAAGGCTGCACCTGGTAAAGAGCTGGAGTTATTACAGCACCAAACTTTTATGACATGAAATTAATATAGCAAGAGAACTAGGAACGATTGATCCCATAATGACCCTAAGAAAGACACTTTATCACAAAAAGGCACGGAAGGAAGGACAACGAGAAAGGACCAGCAATGGGAGGAAGGAGCCCAATGCGATACCTTGTAAAGCATGGTGAGCTTCCTGGAAGCTTCATCAATGTGCGCGCTGACGTGGAAGTTGGCAACACCACAGGAAGCATCTCGGGTTTCGAGAGCCGTGAGCTCGTGAAAGTGCGTGGCGAAGAGTGTGGGCGCTCTAGTCACATCCACTAGATGCTCACAGATAGCCCACGCGAGACCTGAAAAAAGGGGTGGTGAGTGAGAGTAAGGCAAGAGGGCCGTGAGCTCGTGAAAGTGCGTGGCGAAGACAGTGGGCGCTTTAGTCACATCCACTAGATGCTCACAGATAGCCCACGCGAGACCTGAAAAAAGGGGTGGTGAGTGAGAGTAAGGCAAGAGGGCCGTGAGCTCGTGAAAGTGCGTGGCGAAGACAGTGGGCGCTTTAGTCACATCCACTAGATGCTCACAGATAGCCCACGCGAGACCTGAAAAAAGGGGTGGTGAGTGAGAGTAAGGCAAGAGGGCCGTGAGCTCGTGAAAGTGCGTGGCGAAGACAGTGGGCGCTTTAGTCACATCCACTAGATGCTCACAGATAGCCCACGCGAGACCTGAAAAAAGGGGTGGTGAGTGAGAGTAAGGCAAGAGGGCCGTGAGCTCGTGAAAGTGCGTGGCGAAGACAGTGGGCGCTTTAGTCACATCCACTAGATGCTCACAGATAGCCCACGCGAGACCTGAAAAAAGGGGTGGTGAGTGAGAGTAAGGCAAGAGGGCCGTGAGCTCGTGAAAGTGCGTGGCGAAGACAGTGGGCGCTTTAGTCACATCCACTAGATGCTCACAGATAGCCCACGCGTGGCCTGGTGGGAGGGGTATATACGAAGGGGAAAGGGGGGTGAGGCGAGAAAGGAAGGCACCAGTGTGTCTAGCGCTTGTGAAAGTGTGTGGCAAAGAGGGTAATTGCTCTAGTCACGTCCGCGAGATAATCACAGATGGCCCATGCAAGAGCAAAGGCAAAGCCGGAGTGACCGGGACGTGCTGAGGCCGTCACTGGTGGAAGTTCTACGCCCTAGCACGTGCCAACTTGCTCTGGCTGATGTTCTACGCTCATCAGTGGTAACCAGCGAGTGCAACGTCCCGGCTGTCTCCATCGAGCCCGGAGAAAACGCATGCCACGCACTTTCACGAGCATCTCGTGAGCTCGTGAAAGTGCGTACCGAATCCATCGTAAGCCGTTTTTTAGAAATCTCAAAAACACTATCCATCGTAAGCGGACGTTCCCCGCCTGCCCCAGCTCGTCAATAATGACCATTGAGTGTGGTGAGACGGTGTGGACACTCCCAAAGTCAGAACGTACTTAAGCCGGCACTCACCAAAGCCATCGTACGTCGACGTTCCCCTTCCCAGCTCGTCAATGATCACCAGCGAGTGCGGCGTGGCGGCATGCAGGATGGCGGCTGTCTCGAGCATCTCCGCCATGAAGGTGCTCACTCCCCTCAGCTGGAGGCGACAAGGCAGGGCACGTAGAGGAACGAGGAGGTCAGAAGTATGAGCAAGTTGGGGGGTTGAGGGATTCAAAGCAACAACTTGCAGAATGGCGGCTGTCTCGAGCATCTCCGCCATGAATGTGCTCACTCCCCTCAGCTGGCAAGAGACAAGGCAGGGAGGGAGGGGGGAGAGGGAGGTGAGAAATCTGACAGTTGTGGAATCACAAGAGGCGGCGTAGCGCTATCCGAATGGCAGCTGTTTCCAGCATCTATGAATGTGCTCATTCACTTCCCTCAGCTGAAGGAGAAAAGAGCAGGGAGAAGCAACAGGGCAGGGAGCAACACCAGGATGGGAGTTGTGGGGGGATGCAATCAAGCGCCAGCCTCCTTCCATCCAACTTACCCCTTCCCTTCCCCGTTCGAACCTCCCCCTTTCCATTCTCACCCCTCACCTGGCAATCGCCAGCGCCCACGCAGGCAAAGATGGCGTCTCGAATGCTCACGTGTGCGCTTTCCACTCGTCCCCCTCCCCGACCCACATCACCTGTCAATCACCCATTCCCCACCATTTCCTCCTCACCGCCCTCATCCTCCCCCATTGCATCACCCCTCCATTACATCTCCCCCCTTCCCACCTGGCAATCCCCAGCGCCCACGCGGGCAAAGATGGCGTCTCGGATGCTCACGCGCGCACGGGAGCAAGGCACCTGATACTCACACGCACCTGCCACCCACTCCCTCCCTTCCTCCCTTCAATGCACCTTCCACCCCCCTTCTCACCTGGCAATCGCCAGCGCCCACGCGGGCAAAGATGGCATCTCGTATGCTCACGTGTGCGCGGGAGCAAGGCACGAAGCACCCCACCTGTGCCATCAGCACCACCACTCCCACCTGCAGCACACACGCAGAGTAAGAGTATGGGGATGAGAGGATATGTTTTAAGTTAAGGACGTGTTGTCAGGAGTTTGGGGGTGTCCATGATACCTTTATGCAATGCACCTGGCATAAAAACATGCCTGGCAATTAAACACACCTGAAGTAAAACCAAAAAAAAAAAAAAAAAAAAAAAAAAACATCTGACGTTAGAACGTACCTGAAGTATGAAACACACCTGGCGTATAAACGTTGACTTGCCGCCCATGTTGGGCCCTGTGATGATTTGAAACCAGCTGCGACCCCTCTCCTGGTGGGGTGGGGTGGGTAGTGGGTGGGTGGAATGCAGTACATAGGGGTACCGTCGGGTACTCTCGGGTGGTGTGAGGAGATGAGTGGCAGATGGGGCAGATGGGTGCACGAGGGAAGAGATGGGTGCACGAGGGAAGAGATGCGTGCAGATGAGAACAGACGGGTGAACCACCACTGAGGGGAATGGGAACACACCAGGCGACAACGGTTGAGGATGAAGCTGACGTCATCTTGCACCTCCACCACACATGGGTGGGCTGATCAGCATGATAGAGGCAGCAGAGAATCACTTCTGAGAATTCTCTTTTTGAGACTTGTGAGAATTTCTCAAAGGCGCCAGAGAAGAGTTGAATTTGGAGTCGACTCAAAAGTCAACATGGGCTGATCAGCATAAGATAGAGGCAGCAGAGAATCACTTTTACGAATTCTCTTTCTGAGACTTGTGACAATTTCTCAAAGGCGCCAGAGAAGAGAATCACGTGAAGGGACACGCACCAGGCGGCAGTGGTTGGGAATGAAGCTGACGTCATCCTGGACCTCCACACATGGGTGCCGGCTGTCCTCCAACACTAGATCGCCCTCCTCCTGGTGTCATGCCATGCCATGTCATGTGTGCCACGTATGCCATGCCATGCCATGCCATCATACCATGCCATCCCATGCGATGCCATGCCATTTGAAGCGTCAATAGGTGGGAGGAAGGGGATAGGGAGGAGGAGGGGAGTGGACGGAAATGTGAAAAATAATGCAGCAGGACGAAAATGGGAGGCAACAAGGCATGGGAGCAACAGGTCACTCACTAGCCAGGTTGCAAATCCGCAAGGAACACACTTTGTGCTTCAAGAAACGCGATAAAAAAGTGTGAAAAACATAGATGTATCACCAGCCCGTTTTTCAAGTTCGTACCGGGCCTGAGATGGAGGGTCGGACGTAGGGAGTGGGAGCCGAAGCTGCAAGCTCGGCAAAACCCTGTAGCACGTCCATTTCAGCGATCAGTGCTGCCACGCCCTCAAACACCTGCGCCAAGCAGGGAAATGAAGGCATTGAGAGGAAATGCACATGATGGTACTCAAATCGGTTGTGCTTTGAGCGAATTCCAAAGGCAAAGCACAAACTTAAACCGAAACAGCCTGAACCTGAAATATAAACCCATCTCTCACCTCCAAGATCGTTTGTGCCACTTCCACCACCTTCGCAACCAGCTCCCTCTGAGCCGCCATGTACCACATGAGTCTCCATAGACCCTTGGCCTGAAGCATGGGTTTCAACACACTAGATCCAGAACTCTAGACTCTAAAACATAAACCCTAAAGCCCCAAACCCATGTCTCACCTCCAAGAACGTCTGTGCCACTTCCACCACCTTTGCAACGAGCTCCCGCTGAGCCGCCATGTACGAATCCGTGAGCGCCACGTGGCGCTCGCTCAGCCTCCGGAGCTTCGCATTCGTGAACTTGACTCCGTCCTTCCTGGTCTCAAGAGTCACATACGACGAATTCAGCTTCTTCCTAACGTTTGTCTCCTCTTTCTTCGTTATCCTGTAGCAATACCCCGCCTGCGCCGTCTTATCTAATTTAATCGTCTTATCCACTATGAGGCCTAAATCGTTTGCTGCTTGCTGCAACGCTCTCTGCACTTCGACTTCAACCCCCTCCCTCTCCTCTTTAATCTCCCCTAGGCTTGGGTCATAACCTGGAGCTATTAAATACTCTCCGTTTGACTGCAGAGCGTCTAAGTCTACTGCTGCTTCCACCAGACCCTCGTACTTAGCTAAGTGCTCCGCCCCGCACCACTCGAGCAGGCTCGCGCCAAACCTCTCATGCAGCATCGGGCGGAACGAGCCTCCGTGGGTTTCAAGCACCTCTCGGATGAATGGAAGGCGAATGCTGGCCTGAAATGAGGGCCGAAAACGGAAAAGGAGAAAAGGGAGGGTTGGTGGGTGGGGGAGCAAGCAGAGCAGAGGGAAAAGAAGAGGGGAGCAGGTGAGAGGGAGGACGACAGGTGGGTTCCAATCACCTCGTTGATGAAAGGAAGGCGAATGGTGGCCACGGGGGGAAAGGAGGAAGGGAGGGGTGGTTGGATCACTGAGAGCTAAGGGGGGTAAAAAATACTATGACTGTCTCATACTCGCAACAGCCACACTCGTTACGGTCACACTCGTTGCAGTCACACTCGTTACAATCTCACCTGATACAGCTTAACCCCGTCCTGCAGCCCAGCTCGTCTCATCTCCAGTCGCCTCATCAGCCTCTCTATATCCGGCATGCGTCTCAAATGCCCCCGCACTCGCTACAGTGTCTTACTCGCTACAGTCACACTCGTTATAGACTCACACTCGTTACTAACTCACCTGATACAGCTTAACCACGTCCTGCAGCCCAGCTCGCCGCATCTCGAGCCGCCTAGTCAGCCTTTCTATATCCGGCATGCGTCTCAGATGCCCCCGCACCTCCTGCCTCATCCCACCGCTCTCTACAAACGACTGCACCACATCCAACCGAAACTTAATCTCCTCTTCATCCACTAACGGCTGCTTCAGCCACCGGTTTAGTAACCTTTTCCCCATGCCCGCAGTGCACGTGCGGTTCATCAGTCCCATTAAGGAAAAGTTTCTATTTCCGTCCGTTTTGGATTCGGTGACGTTGAGGGCGCGGAGGGCGGTCGCGTCGAGGCGCATGTGCGTGTGGAGACTGTATGGGAGGAGAGTGTAACGCCCGTAGTTACTATCGTCTGCTAACAGATCAGCATAAGCGAGTACAGCAGCCATCGCAGCCCCCGCGATTTCAGAGTCTACAGTAACCTTCTGGCCTCCTCCCCCTCGACCCCCTACTCCTGCTGCTCCCGTCATCCTCCCTCCGCTTCCCCCTCCGCCTCCGCCTGCGCCCCTTCCCCCTGCGCCGCTCGTTCCCCTTAAAAGCCTCCCCAGGTCTTGCTCCACGTCGCGCGGCTTAAACTCCGCCCGTTTCCGCTCAACTATGAGCACGTTGCATCGCGACATCACGTCTCTTAATCTCCGCGCCTCGAGCGACTTGGCCCCCTTCTTCTCCGCGCCTCCGCCTCCCCCTCCACTTCCCCCGCCCCCCTCCTGCGGAACCACGCACTCGCGACAGCTCAGCGCGACGAGCGCGGATTCCAGACACGTGTACTGCTCGTCGTCCAGAAAATCCGTCATTCCCACGGCGCGCTTCGTCAGATCCACGAACGCCAGCCCGACGCGTCGCTCGCCGTCCTTCGCGCCGCCCCCCCCGCCGCCGCCGCTCGCGGCGACGATCACGGCGCACACCGTCGGCGAGTCGCCCATGTCGCGCGTCGCGAACAGCACGTCCTCAAAGGCGGTCAGACGCCCGGGCGTGGCGGCCCGCGCGAGCCGCCAGCTAGCGCCGCCGCCTTCGTACAGCTCCACAGTCGAATACCCGCCACCGCCGCCCGTGGCGGAACCGCCGCTGTTACCGCCGCCGTCTCCGCCACCACCCTCCGCGCCTGTTCCCCCCGCTCCGCCTCCGCCTCCGCCTTCCTCTAGCAGCAAGTGGCGGAGGATCGACTCGAACATGCTGCGGTTGACGCTCACGCTGGGGAGTGCAGCGGAATCGTTGGCGCCCGCGAAACTTCCTGCCGCGCTTGCTCCGCCCGCGGAGAGGTAGCGCACGGCGGAGAGCGTCTTGTAGAATACGCGCGCGACGAAAATCGCTGCGGGGCCGTGCACGGTGTAGTAGTCGCGACGGTCGAAGAAGCGGATCGTGTGCGGTGCCTGGGGCACGGGGGGAAGCGGAGAGGGAAGCGGAGAGGGAAGCGGAGAGGGAAGCGGAGAGGGAAGCGGAGAGCACGGAGACATGTAGAGGGGCAATGTCTGGGGCAAGGGCTGAGGGGCACGGTGCAGTAGTCGCCGCGGAGGTCGAAAAGACGAAAACAAGGAAAAAAGGAGCACCAGCGTTCATGTATCATGGGTGGAAGGGAAGGGAAGAAGGACAGAAACCCCTGGGATTTCCGCGAGTGTCCAACAATTTTGCGACTGAGATCTCAAACACTGAAGTTCACGTACGGGTGGAAGCGAGCGGAAGAAGGAGAGGAACCCTTGAGCTTGCCGAGCGTCTATCGAACGACAAGGGAAGAAGGGGGCAAAGGGGGAGGGGGCATGCGTTACGTGGATAAAGAAAGCAAAGATCGGGAATGTTACTGCCCTAGGTGGCATTTGAGTCGACCTAAAAGAAATATAGAGACAAAACACTACCAGGGAGGCTATCGTACTACAAGTGTCAGTTGCTGCGGACGGGCCGGTCCATATGACGCACCGAGTTTGAGCTCTGGCAGCTTCGCCTCTCCGCCATCCATGTCCGCCATATTGGCTTGCTCGTTATCGTACGAAAAGGATACCACTGCGCGAAAAAAAGTTATTGCTGCGCGAAATGGCTACCACCAGACAGCGTGATGTTGTGCGTATGACACCGTGGGACTTGGTGACCGAGAATCAAGACCGGTGCGCACAAGCCACGCGATGCAGCCGAACGAGGGACGTTAGAACACCGTGAGACTGGGTGATCAAGAATCAAGACCGAGCTACTAAAGTGCGGCTTCACTCCAAACGAGTACAGTAGAGAAGCACATGGAGAACAGCAGAGGCCGCATGTGGAATGAGAAGGAACAAGGGGAAAGATCGAATAGGGGCCGAACAATAGCAGGGAGGTGACCGAATTAGGGCCAGGTTGATCCCAACCGTCGGATATACCCCCGGGGCTGCCAAAGTGGTTAGGCCAAGAATTCGAACCAGGATAAAAAGGAGATTGCTTTTTGCTCAACTTTCTTGGTTCAATGATGTTTTCATGGTTATGATCGCCGTTTGATACGAAGCTTGCGTCGCATTCCTCTGGAAGTAGGTTTCGTCATGTTTATATTTTTGGGAAATGAAATGCGTAATCGTTTTCTCAAAAATTACATCACTTTAGCTGACATAAATAATCAAACCCGTTCAGAAATGGATGCGACTCGGAAGGCATCAACCCTAAACTCCAGGCGGGTTCCCGTGTTTAGGGTTGATCCATCCCGGAAATGCGTCCAGATTCTCTATTGGTTTTAGTTTTTTTTAGGATGCCCTAACATTTCCCGGTAGCGTCGATACCGCCGGTAGCGCTACCTGGCTCGCTAAACGACGCTACCGGATGAAAAAATGATTCATTTACGATATCCTAAGAATATTGAGGTGTGAGCGAAAATGCATGCCGTGACGAACCTCTCTGTTAATTCCCCCTCTCCCAGCGGTTTGGTCAGTTTCGGGCCTCTTGGCCCCTGGTCGATCACCTCTCTGGCACTGTACGGCCCCTCTTTGATCATTTCCCAAGGAACAACACAAGCACACCACGAAAGAATCGAGGGACGAAGAGTGACGGAGACGGGGTAAATGGCGGGAAACATTCAAACTCTGAAATTGTGAACCCCTACAATGAGATCTCACTATTCGTAAATATCATTCGTTTCAATCTACACTCAAATTGTCCATTTGCTCATGCATTTCATCCAAAGGTAAGAAAGGCCTATACAACTTTCAGCTTGATCTGCACACCTACCGAAGCTCACAGAATAAATAAATTTTCCTGAAATTTTCAATTTCAAACCCTGGAAAATTTACAAACTATATAGGATCCTTTTGGGATGTGAAAAAAATCTATTGGGATGTTAAATCACATATTGATCGTATTTATGACTAAAGGGACCATCTATGTAGCGTATGCGTCTACAAAACGAGCAACAAGATATTTTTATTTTGTTATATAATACCTAGTATCAAGGTAATATGCTAAAAACATATAGCATAACATCATATGTTCAGGCAAAAAAAACATGTCACACTGATTCCTTGGCATAAGCGGGTCTTTTTTAAAAAGATCCACTGTCAGAACTGCAGGTCTTCTCCGTGAATGCCTGCGCTTCGGCAGCGTGGTATTGGGATTTGATCAGGTCGCTCGCTAGTTGCTGATCTGGTTCCTGTGGTCCTTCAGTCTCGCCGTATTTGAGTTTGAACAAACTTCGCAAGAGCCATTCTCACAATGCTCCAATCACTGTTGTTGAGACATCTGGAATCTCATCGCTAGGGAGTGTCTTGCAGCTCCGATCACGAGTTAGACACGGCTCAAAACGCAATATTATATATATTTGTTCAAAAAGACGCTACCCCGTTACCACATCCCCCAATGTCGCCAGCGACTAGCCTTCTGCGACACGCCGCGCGTCCCGTGGTCGCTCGGTCGCTGGATGCCACGTCAGCATTGCGTGGCATCGCCAGCGCCATCGTGATGGGTCCGGGGAATGTTCCTGGGGAAGGGGGAGCGGCGAGAGGCGCAGCGCCTACGACAGCAGCGCCTGAAGCGTCCGCGCGTGTAGCCTCCGCGCCGTTGGCGGAAGGGGAAAACTTCAAGGTAAGCAGGTGGGGAGAAAAGGGAGAAGGGCGAGATGGGAGAGGTGGGAAGCACGGCGCATACGACAGCTGCGCCTGAAGCATCCGCGCGTGTAGCCTCTCCGCCGTTGGCCGAAGGGGGGGAACCTTCAAGGTTGGGAGATGGGAAAATGGGGGACAGGGGGAGTTGGAGGCCAGGGAAAAGGGGAGGAGGGGGGAGAGGGGGAATGGAGCTGCAGTAAGGAAGTGGGGAAGCGGAAGTGGGGAAGCGGAAGTGGGGAAGCGGCGGAGGGAGCTCCGTGCGAAACACAAGTTCAAGACGATCAGAAGAATGAATGCATCACGAGGGACGAGTGAAGTGCGGTGGGAAGGGGTATAATGCAGCGTGCGGGCAGGAGTGGTTGCGTGGGAAGGAATGTAGTGCTCTGTTAAAGCTCAAATCCCTTGCACCACACTCCCTCACACCACACTCCCTTGACCAAACTTCCTTAATTGCACACTACTCACCTGCCTTTCTACTGATAAAAACTTGCTACCTTCTGGTTTCTGTCCCCTTCGATGCTGAATCCACGTGTTGATCCCTGTGGACTTCCTTGTACCCGTTATAAGGTGCTCTTCTGTGGAGACGAGTTCCCCGAAGCCCACACCTACTCCGCCGAGCTGCTACACAAAGAGCCCAACATGAAAGTTTCCTGGCACCCACGGGCCGAAATCCCGCGGCAAATCAGGGACTGCCACGTCGTCGTGCCGCGGATGACCCGGCTGGACGCGGGAACCATCGCGGAAGCTTCCAAGCTGCGGCTGATAGTGCAGTTTGGGGTGGGGCTGGAGGGGGTGGATGTGGCAGCAGCGACGGCGAGGGGGATCAGGGTGGGGCGAATCCCGAGTGCTGATACGGGGAATGCTGTGTCCTGTGCCGAGCATGCCATCTATCTTGCCCTGGCGCTCCTCAGAAAGCAGGTGCGGTTCCGGTGTTGCAATGCGCTGATTTGCACTGGTAGTGTGGTTTAGAGTGGTGTTATGGGGCTGGTCGGTTGGTTGGTTGGGTTGATTGGGTTGGAGGGGGTGGACGTGGCAGCAGCAACAGCGAGGGGGATCAGGGTGGGGCGAATTCCGAGTGCTGATACGGGGAATGCTGTGTCCTGTGCCGAGCATGCCATCTATCTTGCCCTGGCGCTCCTCAGAAAGCAGGTGAGTTTTGGAGTCTGTGTATCGTATAAAACATTTGTGCTGAGTGTTGACTCGGGAATGCTGTGTCCTGAGTTGTGCTGATGGTGAGATGTGCTGGTGGGCTGGAGAGCGGGGAAGGGTGGGTATCCCGAGTGCCCACACGGGGAATGCTGTGTCCTGTGCCGAACATGCCATCTACCTTGCCCTGGCGCTCCTCAGAAAACAGGTGTGGTTCCGGTGTTGCAATGCGCTGATTTGCACTAGTGCGGTTTAGAGTGGTGCAGGGTGGGACAGGCTGGTTGGAGGGGGTGGGTATGACAGCAGTGATGACAGCGCAGCGCAGCAGAAGTGCATGTAGGAGTGCATCCAGCGTCAGCGGCTGTGGCGGCCCATCTTGAATCGTCTCTGTGAGCGATTTTTTTAAATTCTCAAAAAACGAGCGTCCAGCAGCAGCGGCAGCGGCTGGAGCAACCCATCTTGGATCGAGTTGGCTTTTGAGTCGACTCCAAAGTCAATTCTAAAAAAACGAGCGTCCAGCGGCAGCTGCTGGAGCATCCCATCTTGGATCGAGTTGGCTTTTGAGTCGACTCCAAAGTCAATTCTAAAAAAGCGAGCGTCCAGCGGCAGCTGCTGGAGCATCCCATCTTGGATCGTCTCTTCTTCGTTACCCTCCCTTTCCTGCTCCATTCCCCTTCTCCCCTCCTCCCTTCCTTCCTCTGTCTATCCCCCTTTCCCTCTCTCCCCACCACAGAAGCGCATGCAGGAGTCCATTCAGCAGCGGCGCCTGGGGCAGCCCATCGCCCACTCGCATTCCCCCTTCTCCCCTCCTCCCTTCATACCCCTCGCCCTCCTCCCTTCATACCCCTCGCCCTCCTCCCTTCATACCCCTCGCTCTCCTCCCTTCATACCCCTCGCCCTCCTCCCTTCATACCCCTCGCCCTCCTCCCTTCATACCCCTCGCCCTCCTCCCTTCCCTCCCCACCACAGAAGCGCATGCAGGAGTCCATTCAGCAGCGGCGCCTGGGACAGCCCATCGGGCAAACCATCTTTGGCAAGTCGGTGGGTTCGGGGTTTTGGGTTTGGTGCCGAGGTTGGAGTTGGGGGGCTGCATGCTGCATGCGGTGTTGCCAACATCGGTGTTGCCAGGTGGAAATATGACGCTTGGGGGCGTTTGGATGGGATTTTGAGTCAACCCAATCAGCAGCCCATCGGGCAAACCATCTTTGGCAAGTCGGTGGGTTCTTGGTGTTGGGGTTGGTGCAAGTGGGTTCTTGGTGTTGGGGTTGGTGCAAGTGGGTTCTTGCTATTGGGGTTGGTGCAAGTGGGTTCTTGCTATTGGGGTTGGTGCAAGTGGGTTCTTGCTATTGGGGTTGGTGCAAGTGGGTTCTTGCTATTGGGGTTGGTGCAAGTGGGTTCTTGCTATTGGGGTTGGTGCAAGTGGGTTCTTGCTATTGGGGTTGGTGCAAGTGGGTTCTTGCTATTGGGGTTGGTGCAAGTGGGTTCTTGCTATTGGGGTTGGTGCAAGTGGGTTCTTGCTATTGGGGTTGGTGCAAGTGGGTTCTTGCTATTGGGGTTGGTGCAAGTGGGTTCTTGCTATTGGGGTTGGTGCAAGTGGGTTCTTGCTATTGGGGTTGGTGGAAGTGGGTTCTTGCTGTCGGGGTTGGTGAAGTGGGTTCTTGCTGTTGGGGTTGGTGTGGGGCCTTTACGGTATGGTGCCACCGGTCAGGTGGGGAGGCGACGCTGTGAAGCTTCATGGGTGATGGGGTGGGCCTGCAGAGGCAGCTCATCGAACAAACCATCTGTGGGCAATGGTTTGGTTCCGGATGCTGATTGTGGGATTGGGCGGTTCCGGATGCTGGTTTTGGGATTGGGCGGTTGGGTGCTGTTTTGCCAGCTTGCCATATGATGGCAAGTCGGTGGGTTGTGTTGTGACAGTGGGGGCCTACATGTTGCATTGCATTGCTTTCCTCCGCACGCACTGATTCTGGGGAATGGAGGGGTAGGGAAGGCAATCGGTGCGAGGCTGAAGGTGGGGTATGAGTTGGAAGCAGCATGGATGGGGGGAGGGGAGTGGGGCTCTAATTTTGCTTCAATGGGGGGAGTGGAGCAGCGTTGAGCCTCCACGCCCTCCTTCCCCCACTCTTTCCCCTCCCTCCTCAGTTTTTGAGTCGACTCAGAAGCAGCGTGGATGGGGGGAGTGGGGCTTTGGTTTGGTTTGACTCCAATGTGGAGTTGAGCCTCCACGCCCTCCGTTTCCCCCCTCTTTCCCCTCCCTCCTCAGGCAATGATAGATCGCATACCATGCATTATACTAATAGTGGGCTCCTATTATACTAATAGTGGGCTCCTATTATACTAATAGTGGGCTCCTATTATACTAATAGTGGGCTCCTATTATACTAATAGTGGGCTCCTATTATACTAATAGTGGGCTCCTATTATACTAATAGTGGGCTCCTATTATACTAATAGTGAGCTCCTATTATACTAATAGTGGGCTCCTATTATACTAATAGTGGGCTCCTGTTTTACTAATAGTGGGCTCCTAATATACTAATAGTGGGCTCCTATTATACGAATAGTGGGCTTCTATTATACTAATAGTGGGCTCCTATTATACTAATAGTGGGCTCCTGTTTTACTAATAGTGGGCTTCTATTATACTAATAGTGGGCTCCTATTATACTAATAGTGGGCTCCTGTTTTACTAATAGTGGGCTCCTATTATACTAATAGTGGGCTCCTATTATACTAATAGTGGGCTCCTGTTTTACTAATAGTGGGCTCCTATTTTACTAATAGTGGGCTCCTATTATACTAATAGTGGGCTCCTATTATACTAATAGTGGGCTCCTAATAATGCGTTTATTCTTTTCTCCTTTACCGGTCCTCCTTTACCGCTCCTCCTTTCCCGCTCCTCCTTTACCGCTCCTCCTTTCCCCATTTTCCTTGCAGGCACTCATAGTGGGGTATGGAGGGATAGGAAAGGCGCTCGCTGCAAGGCTGAGGGCGTTTGGAGTGGCGTGGATGGGTGGAGTGCGGAAGGGATGGGCGGGTGTGCATGGGAGGAGAGGCGAAGGCGAAGACGAGGCAGGTGTGTGGGTGGATGGGTGGGTGGATGGTGTCATTGAGCAGGTTGAGAGTTGTGTGGCGCGGTGTGGCGCAGTGTGGCATGGTGTGGATGCAGGCGTAGGTGGGCGGATTGCGGAGGGGATGGGCAGGCGTGCATGGGAAGAGAGGAGGCCACGGGGAAGATGAGACAGGTGGGTGGGTGGGTGGGTGGGTGGGTGGGTGGGTGGGTGGGTGGGTGGGTGGGTGGGTGGGTGGGTGGGTGGGTGGGTGGGTGGGTGGGTGGGTGGGTGGGTGGGTGGGTGGGTGGGTGGGTGGGTGACTGTGGGTGTGTAGGTGGGTGGGTGGGTGGGTGGGTGGGTGGGTGGGTGACTGTGGGTGTGTAGGTGGGTGGGTGGGTGTGGCGGGTGAGTGTGGGTGGGGTGTGTTGTACAGCATTTACGATTCCCAAACACTTTTTTTCTTTTTACTAAGCACTATTCACAATCCACTGCATGTTACCAACGCCCTACTCACTCTACACTTGTTTGAAGAAGGGTTTTGAGACGTCTCAACGCCCTACTCACTCTACACTGCTCGCTCTCTCTCATTACTGCAGATGGGCTACTGGATGAGTGGGGAGGTCCCGAGAGCATAAAGGAGATGCTGCCAGTGGCAGATCTTGTCTTCTTGTGCTGCCAGCAAACCACCGAAACGGTAAGATGGGAGGAAGGGGAGCGCGCAAGAGAGTGATAAGGGTAAGTTGTCAGGGGAGCGCGCAAGAGAGTGATAAGGGTAAGTTGTCAGGGGAAGGCGCAAGGTGGGAGCGAAGACAAAACAGAGTCAATGCAGGAGGCTGAGATGTTTTGTCTTCGCTCTGCTCCTGCATTGACTCTGTTTTGACCCTATTGCTGACTCTTCTTGACCTTGTTTCTGACTCTGTTTGGCTCTGTTTGACTCTGTTTGACTCTTTTTGTCTCTGCTTGACTCTGTTTGACTCTTTTTGTCTCTGCTTGACTCTGTTTGACTCTTTTTGTCTCTGCTTGACTCTGTTTGACTCTGTTTGACTCTTTTTGTCTCTGCTTGCCTCTCTGCTTGCCTCTCTGCTTGCCTCTCTGCTTGCCTCTCTGCTTGCCTCTCTGCTTGCCTCTCTGCTTGCCTCTCTGCAGATTGGCATGGTCGACACCAGCTTTCTTGCAGCAATGAAAAAGGCAAGTAAGGAGATAAGCCAATCACAGGCAAGCAGGTTACCTTGTGTTGCTTTTGAGACTCTATGACGGCAATGAAAGAAGTTGAGTGATGGAAGAAGACTAGGAAGAGTCGATCACAGGCAAAGAGACATTTAGTTTGAGGTTGATTTTGAGAATTCTCAAGATTAACCTCAAACAAAAAGGAAGAGTCAATCACAGGCAAAGAGGCATCCTAACGGCACAACTCCCCACACCAACGATTTACACAATTTTCCCCATCCCATCCTGACATCATGGCCCCATCCCATGACTTTCACTAGAGCTTTCCACCACCTTCTCGACGATCCCCCCACGTGAAGCGAGGTTGTTTTTGAGACGTCTCAAAAACAACCTCGCTTCACGTGGCATCCCATGACTTTCACTAGAGCTTTCTAGAACCTTCTCAACGATCCCCCCATGGTTCATTCTTCTGCTATTTTTTAGGCGCCTCAAAAATCGTCCCAACGTTTTCCCCCACAGTTCATTTCTCCGCAGTCAGCCAATGTTCCCCCTCGGTTGACATGGCAAGAGGGGCATTCCTAAACTTCCCCCCTCCTGCCATATTTTATCCCCGTCACTACCGGCATCACCTGATATTTGATTCGCTGGCATGCCTTGGGATTGACGTTGCATGGCAAGAACCCGTCAACCCTCTCCCCTTCCCCCAACATCCCCACTGCCTCTATTCCCATCACCCACCCCCTTTCCCTTCTCTCTCCCAACTGCCTTATTTTACTCTTGGGCTCCCTCTCCCCCTATCCCTTCCCTTTTTCTCTTCAACAGTTGGCTATTCTTATCAACGTGGCAAGAAGAGGGCTCCTGCACTATCCGTTAACCAAGCGTTCGGATCTGCCACACTCAGGGGCATCTTGATTGTCGTGGCATGGCAAGAACCCATCGACCCCTTAAAGCCCTTTCCTCCACTTCCCCTTTTTGGCCTCCCCCCTTCTCATAACCCTCCCCCCTTACTCCTATGTAACCACCCCCCAACTCCCTCCTCCTCCCCTGTCCTCTAACCCTCTCTTCAACAGTCGGCCATTCTCATCAACGTGGCAAGAGTGGGGCTCCTGCACTCATTAACCAAGCGCTCGAATCTGCTTCCCTGGCGGGCCTTGGGATTGACGTGGCATGGCACGAACCTATCGACCCCTCACAGCCCCTTTCCCATAACCCTTTCCCTTTTCCTCAACCCCTCAGCCTTCCCCTTTTCCCTCTATTCCCTGCCTTACCCCTTCTTGTTCCCACTTCCCCTCCCTAACCCCTCTCTTCCAACCCTTTCTTCCACAGTCGGCCATTCTCATCAACGTGGCAAGAGGGGTTCTCCTGCACTACCCTGCCATTAACCAAGCGCTCGAATCTGCTTCACTAGCTGGCCTTGGGATCGTTGTGGCATGGCCCCTCAGAGCCGATTCCTTCAAAACCTCACCCCTTCCTTTATTTGCCCCCTTCACCATCTCCCTCTTTCCTCTAACGTCTCCCTCTTTCCTCTATGAACCCCCCACTAACCCCCCTCCCTCCCCTCAATTCTTCCCTCTGACTCCAGTCAGCCATTCTCATCAACGTGGCAAGAGGGGGGCTCCTGCACTACCCTGCCATTAACCAAGCGCTCGAATCTGCTTCACTAGCTGGCCTTGGGATCGTTGTGGCATGGCCCCTCAGAGCCGATTCCTTCAAAACCTCACCCCTTCCTTTATTTGCCCCCTTCACCATCTCCCTCTTTCCTCTAACGTCTCCCTCTTTCCTCTAACGTCTCCCTCTTTCCCCTATGAACCCCCCACTAACCCCCCTCCCTCCCCTCAATTCTTCCCTCTAACTCCAGTCGGCCATTCTCATCAACGTGGCAAGAGGGGGGCTCCTGCACTACCCCGCCATTAACCAAGCGCTCGAATCTGCTTCACTAGCTGGCCTTGGGATTGACGTGGCGTGGCAAGAACCCATCGACCCCTCAGAGCCCCTTTTGAAGCACCCTGGCGTTATAGTCACACCGCATATTGCGGGCGTCACCGAGGTGTCGTACCGACGAATGGCAGAGGTGCGTTGCATGGGGGGCAGGAATTATGTGCATGGGGGGAGTCTGTTTTTGGATTCGACTCAAAAGCAGCGTGTAATGAGTCTGTTTTTGAGTCGACTCAAAAACAGACTCATTACATGGGGGGCAGGAAGTGCGTGCATGGGGGGCAGGAAGTGCATGCATGGGGAAGGGAAGCGCGTGCATGGGGAAGGGAAGCGCATGCATGGGGAAGGGAAGCGCGTGCATGGGGAAGGGAAGTGCATGCATGGGGAAGGGGAAGCGCGTGCATGGGGGAGGGGAAGCGCGTGCATGGGGGAGGGGAAGCGCGTGCATGGGGGAATGGCATTCCCCCTCTGAGAAGCACGCTCAGCATATTGCAGGCGCGACTGAGGCGTCTTGCTGGAGAATGGCAGAGGTGCGTGCATGAAAGGGCGAGGAGTGTGGGTGGGTGTAGGTGTGTACCCCTTCTGAAGCACGCTCCGCATCTTGCGGGCGTTACTGAGGTGTCTTGCTGGAGAGTGGCAGAGGTGTCTTGCTGGAGAGTGGCAGAGGTGTCTTGCTGGAGAGTGGCAGAGGTGTCTTGCTGGAGAGTGGCAGAGGTGTCTTGCTGGAGAGTGGCAGAGGTGTCTTGCTGGAGAGTGGCAGAGGTGTCTTGCTGGAGAGTGGCAGAGGTGTCTTGCTGGAGAGTGGCAGAGGTGTCTTGCTGGAGAGTGGCAGAGGTGTCTTGCTGGAGAGTGGCAGAGGTGTCTTGCTGGAGAGTGGCAGAGGTGTCTTGCTGGAGAGTGGCAGAGGTGTCTTGCACACTGGTAAAGAGAGAGGGTGGTTGCACGTTTACATGTGGCGTGGGGGTGAAGGAGAGGAAGAGGGGATGGGAGGGTGAGGGGCGGGGAGTAGAGAGGGGGGGAGGAAGGGGAGGGGGGGGGGGGGGGGGGGGGATGAGGGAGAGTACATGGGGGAAGGGGAAGAGAGGGGTTTGGCGCACGCGTATGTGGTTATATGGGGAATGTGTTGGATGTGTATGGGTAATGATTATTAGATCCGAGCAACCTCACATATTCATTCCTACTAAAAGTAGGCCGTTTTCCCATGCCCAAATTACACCAACAGTGGGAGCCTTTGTTTCTTTATGCTGCATTTTGTGCTTTCACAGATTATTTACCAAACCGTACTTCAAGTCAGAGACGAAGAGGTACTTACGCACGTGGAGCTGGTCAACTAGTTGAACGGCTGAAAGTGACACATGATACATACAATTTGATTTATTGGTTTATGATGCACAACTATACCTGTGTAACCGTTCTCAATTTGTACTCCCATCGGGGCTGCTTATGTGTCGAATCCTAATACAATTGCACCAGTTCTGCTTTTTGTGGCTGCTCGGCTCCCACGTCAAGCAAAGCCTCGCTGCCTTTTTGCTGGTAACGTCGCTGCTTTTCAGCAAGATGAATTTTCGCACCAGCTAATGGCTCTTTCGCAAACGCCAGATGCACACTGCATTCGCAAACGCCAGGCACATGTCTCCTCCCCTGTCTTCTGGTGCGTGTATGGATGACGCGCTAGAAACCTGCACCTGTCGAGATTCGAGAATACCGACCTTGGGAGCCCCGCAGACGCGGCACGCTTCGGCACCGCCATCTCCGAGACACGCGGGCCTTTCGTCTGCACTCGTCTACGTGTAACCGCCAGTTCCTCGCTCGTAACGCCGCCAGCAGTCTTTTGAGCGGTTGCGTGCGCGACAGCTCGAAAAGTGCATTCGAAGTGGCGTGACGAGCATCGAAACGACGTGGCTCGTTCTTGCGCTTTTTTGGGGAAGCGTGTCCGGCGGTGACTCGTTTTCGACAAAAAACTATGGAATTCTGGACTCCAGAATCCAGAATTACTGTAGCATCTCTGGTCGGCGGTTTTCCCTGTGATCGCCTGTCGGCTGGACCACACGGAATAGCGAGACAACGAGCTGTTTGCTTTTCTCTGGTGAATTCCAGCAAGCTTCCTTACAGCTGTCCATCGAGCTGTACATATATCCGCCTAGTTCCGATAGATTTCAAACAGCTGTGATTATCAAGCAACGTCAAGCTTTTTTCAGAAAAGTTTAGTGCTGTTCCCTTCGTTGTCAGCTGTCCGAGACGAGCTGTCTACCTTGGTCTATCGGACTCGAGGGAGTCAAGGAAACTACTTAGTTTACGAGCGCCTGACGTGCTCAGTCTGAAATTATGACGCAAGCGGCGCTCCTCCTCCTCCCGGACGGTGGCGTGAAGTTAATTACCGAAAGGACTCGCGTTTCTGACATAATGAAGGACCACCCAGGCTTCGCTGTCGGCTCGTTCACCTCGAACCGCGAAGTCCTCCCTGCAGAGAAGCTCCTGCGATCAGGCAGCAGTTACTACCTCCATCGGGTTACCAACTCAAACGGAAGCTCCGACCTTGGGAACGCCGACGATGGGTCGTTTAGCGGGTTCCCGCGCACGAGGTCTTACGCCAGTGCGCCGTCGATTCGCGGCGATACCCCCAGCCCCGAACACCCTTCGCAGGATCTCCGCCAGGCGTCGCAATCGCACCCTCAAAGCCACAATTTTCGTGACTTCGCTGGTTCGCTGAATTTCGTAAGATCGTCGACCATGTCCCGCCGCGCGTCGCTGGCAATCGATACGTCCACTCGAGGGATCTCAGAAGCGCCAACGCCGCACCGTCAGCAGCGACAGCCGAGGCAGCGATGCAAGCACGAGCAGCAGACGTATCGTTACGACGCGATAAGCCCGAAATCCCCAGCAACTCCCAGGTTACCCAGTGTTATCGGTGCGAGCACCCCATCATTCTCGTCCTCTTCGTCCATCTCGCCATCCCCTCTACAGCTTTCGCCACGTGGAGCCACTAGCGAGCTGCTGAGTCCGCGTTACCAGGACTTCGCGGCGTGGTCGTCAAGTACCGCCTCAAGCAGCAACGGTGACCTGCCCAGGGTGCACTCAGAAACCACCCTCCGCTCACACATCACTTCCAGCAACCACCCATCTCGGGAGGCTGGTAATGTTGGCGATTTTGCTGCGACGCCTGCAGCTCCAGTTCGCCAAAGCGGGGTTCAGGGACGTATACTCAAGTGGAAAATAAGGGAAGATACGACGGCGACTGCCAAGGGAGGCCGCCTCTCAACTTGCGCAGAGGATCTAATGGCTACGCGGCTGTTGCTGGCGGGATCCTATGGCAACAATAATTCTAGGGCTAGCATTAGTGGAGTCCCTCCATTGCACATGAGGAACGGCTTCTAGCATGGCTTGGGTAGAAGCAGCTCGTTGTTCGTGCTATGTGAGTTGGGATTTGCCCCATGATAGGTTCTATACTCGTTTATCTAATAATGCTGAATGAATATAAATGTTATCACCTTGTGGTCTGAAACTGCAATTGCGAATGTGCATAATTTTCATGTACACACATATTGTAAGTAATATCAACCGTTTCAATTACAGCTGTAATCTACAAATATTTTTCGAGTAGTAATCGAGTACTCGACAACGGAAACTACTCGAGGCAACACTGAGCTCCTGTTTAGGTTCTGTCCCAAATGCCCAGCTTCCCTCATCACAAGCTGCAGGTCGCATTCTGAATGGCTGCTGCTGCTGCTTGCAATCATCTTCAAAGGTCGCGCTCAAGCCAAGCCGCACATTTGCTTTGTACGCGTGTCTCTCAATGCGCTGCTTGCAGGTCCGTTTTAGGTAATCCGCAACAGCTGTGAGAATCTTAAGACGCCGCACCCTAAACTCACCTGAGTTCCTCGCCAAAATCAGCCCGCCAGAAACTCTCACTTACTTGAACCCCAATTGCCTTTAACGGCCATCCCGACGACGTTTCGTGAGATTCCTGATGAATTTGATGAACACTGGAAACGGCGTTTCGCGACATTGCTGACGGTGTTCGGCCAGTCCTGCTGACCAGTTCCGGTAGGCCTTCGCCTTCTGCCAGATCCCGGCTGCACGTGTCTGTCCTTCGACGAGAGCTGCGTCATGGCTTCGAAGCGTCCCTCGGAGCCTGAAGCCGCGCCGAGCCTATCGTCCATGGAGAATCTACAGCGAGTGGAGCAGGTATGACGAGAGAATGAGGAAGAATCAGGGAACATCGTTGCGCGTAGAACAGGACGTGAGAATCATCAAGAAAATCTACAGTGCGTGAATTACACGGTTTGACGGACGTCTGAAAAAGAAGAAATGAGTTACTCACGTTGACTCTTAGCGTGCACCTTGCCGATGCTCTGACGTCTCTCCATGTCTCTCCATGTCTCTCTATGTCCCCATGTTCCCCCATAACTCCATCTCCGCCGTGTCTCTTCGTGACTCCCCATGTCTCCCGATGTTGCCTTATGTCCCCCCACTTCTTCCACGTAACCCATATCTCACCTACCATTTCTTAAACTCATCAACACCATGAATGTACAACCAACAGAATCCGTGCTGTCACGTCACCCTGATCCCTTTCTGTATGGTTCACACTTATACCCTAACCGAATCTTCATCCATTCCGGAATTACCGCAGCGAATAATCGACGCTGTCAAATGCGCAGGCAACGTCATGCAGCTGCTCGGCCAATCAGGACCGTCCGCACCAGTAGGAGGCGGAAGTGGAGGGGGAGGTGGGCCTTCGCATCCGCACCTTCCAGGGAACGTTCATGGAAGCATTGCTGCAGGGGGGGGACCGGGAGGGGCAAACAGGAAACCAGAAATGGTGGCTGGGATGTGCCAAGATTTCATGCTGGCCATGCGGGTGAGCTAATATAAATTGTTCCACATGATGTTCCAACCAGCATGTGACACTTAAAAATCTACAGCTCCTTTTTTCCAGCTTGTTGGTACCTTTCTGATTCCAGCTTGTTGGTACCTTTCTGATTTGTGCCTCCTTATTTGTAAATATGGTTCTTGCAGGATGTTCAAGTGATTATGCGCAATGAGATCCGCATAATGTGTGAATACCGCTCCTATGAGAACAGTGACTATATGGAGCGCTTGCTCGCCGAGCTCAGTGCTGAGAAACTAGACTGCTTGGGAAACCGCATTCAGCATCTCCAGCAAGTATTGGGCAATGATGGTGATGACGAGGAAAATGAGGAAGTTGATGATGGTGCTGGTGGTTACAAGGCGGGTGGTGGTGATGGTGATGCGGAAAAGCCCAGCACTAGTGATGGCACAGGGAATGAAAAGACGGGCATGGATGAGTTGCCTGGGTCTGTTAGTGGTGAGGGGCAGGAGAAGGCAGGAGAGAACGAAGAGGAGAATGATCAAGAAACGGGGCGATTAGAAGACGATATTGGTTTGCCCTCAATGTTTTTATCCATGCTCCCTGTTGCTAGAGAAGAGTCACCAGAGTAAGGCTTGCTTGGAAATGTTGGAAAATATATACCGTATGAAGGGCTTGTTCTGAAGTTTATAAGACCCGTTCATAGGGTACAATATTGTAAAACATGGTGAGGTAGCTCGTATCAAGTCTGCTCAGTATCTTACAACCGTGTCAGTGACGCTCCCTCCCCCGGTTCTGCTCTGCTGCCTCATGTTGGGCTGAAAAACCCTTAGGATCTTTGCAGGGGTGAAGTCTGGGTAGAGTTGGTGTAGTAGCGGAAGCGTTAATTAAAGAGTTGTGAACCACCTTGCGCTAGTATGTGAGGGCAAAGTAAGTTAATTAAAACAAAGAGATACAAGCTTTTATAAGAGTACAAGGAATACGAAGAGATACAGTTAATAACCGTTTTACTATTGCTGTTGCGGTTCGATACAGTGACGACTCGGGCAACTGTTTAATACCGAGTCAGTTGTTTGTCCTTGCTGTCGCGCTGTACTTTGTCAGGTCAAAGGTCGCTGACCTTTGACTTTCGCGTAACCTCCAACAGTTACTTTCAACCTCCGAGGGTTGACTCGCCGGTGATTCGTTATACTTCGTTTCTTTTGTGTCTTAGTGTTTCGACACGACAGAGGCGCTTAGGACCGATTGTTTCCAACACCTCACACAGAAAGCAACCCTAAAAGTCCCATAATTTCGTCCTTCGAGTCATTTTGTAGTCACTAACGGGTAGCCATTTCCCAGTGCAGGTTTCCGTTTCCCAGAAATTTGCAGCCATGGATGACGAGGAGGCAGCGGAAATAGCTCAGCTGCGTCAGCAGCGGTCACGCCTTAAGGAGCGGCTAGAAAGTCGAAAAAAAGCCACCGCGTCGCTCGTAAACGACCTGCTGACGTCAGCTCCTAACACCGGCGGAGGCGGCGGAATTTCCGCCGCGCGCCGCTCGCCTTCGGTCGACGATGTTCCGCCTGTCGCTGCGACGAACACGGCGCTGGCGGCGACGGGGTTAACTAACAGCGCGAATGCCGGCGGCGCCGGCGGAGGCGGAGGAAGATCTGACGTGTCAGGCAGCGAAGGTCGCGACGACGGAGGCGACTCGAACGTCATCTCGGGCGCTGCGGGAGCCACCGAGGCGACAGCTGGCGTTAGCGGCGGCGGCGGTAGCGGGCCGTTAACGAAACGGCCGCGGAAAAAAGGCTCCCTTCAGAACATTCTAGAAGGTTTAGAAGACGAGAAAGCGGGCCGCGGCGGCGCGGGAAAGCTTAGTGGCATAGTAGCAAGAGGAGGAGGAGCAGCAGCAGCGGGAGGAGGATTCGCAATTCCCTCTCGAACTGAAAGTCCGAACCTTTACGCGGGTCAGCAAACCCCCACGCCTCCGCCAATTGACACGTTCCCGCGAGAGGAAGACATAGTGGACGAGTCGCGCCGGCCGCTGACGTCACTCGAGCGCGTGGAGCGGCTCGTGGCTGCCGTCCTGCTGGCGGCCGGCACGGCGGTGCCTTTGGACTCTAGCGCGATAAATAGGAGATTAAAGAAGGAGTTAAACCCCGAAAGTATAGACCAAGCCTCGATTTTAGAGGTCGGAGGGGAGGACGGGCCAATAGGCGCGCTAGAAACGGCCCTTAGGGTTCTTGCGGGGATGACTGTCGGGGGGGGCGCGGAAGCGGGAGGCGGAGCGGGGAAGGCGGGGGGAAAGCGGAGCTGGAAGGGCGGAGCAGGGGGGAGCGTGAGCGGAGCGCCATTAGTGGAGATAGAAGAATTTGCTGTGGCTGGAGTGGCTAGGTTGATGGTTTTAGGGTTTGACAGGCTGGCGCTTTCGCGGATGTTTCCTGGGGCGACGATTCCGTCTGCAGAAGCTTCCCGGAAGCAGCAGGAGAGGGAGGAGGAAGAGGAGGTGGGGTTGTTGTTAGGTAGGAGGGGAAGAGGCGGCTTTGGGCGGGAGAATAGGAGGTTTGGGGTTGGAAGAGGGGGGATGGGGGGAGATGGGGGAAGAATGGGGGGGGACGGGGGCAGGGAGGGTAGGGACATGGGTGATAGGGAAGGATCCGCGCAGTTTCCTCCTGGTATGGCTCCGCATGGGTTTGAACCCGCAGGGCCGATGGGTGGGGTGAATTACCCTGGGGGAGGCAGGGGGTATTTTCCTGGCGGGGGTGGGCCAGGAGGGGGTATGGGGGGGAATTTCCCCCCTGGGGGTGGACCAGGGCCAATGGGCATGCATGGGGGGGGAGGGCCGGGGATGGGGGGAATGGGAGGAAGGCCCCCCTATGGGCAAGGGGGAATGGGCGGAGGTTTTGGGCCAGGAGGGGGAAGGGGGGGAATGATGCCTTATAACGAAAACATGGGTATGGGCATGGGCATGGGTATGGGGATGGGGATGGGAATGGGCATGGGCATGGGTATGGGTATGGATCATAGAATGCAAGGCCTTCCCCCTCCCTTCCGCCCCCACCCAAGTCTCCCCCCTCCCCACTCTTTGGGAATGGGCGGAGGGGGAAGGGGTGGCGGGGGAGGGCCAGGCGGAGGGGGGCAGGAGGCGGGGGGGAGATGGGGGAGGGGGATGGCAGCAGAAGCGGGGGACGGTAGAGGCGGTGGGGGGGAAACCGGAGGGGAAGGGGAGAAGGAGGGGGGGAAGGGGGAGAAAAAAGGGGAGGGGAGGAGCAAAGGCAGGGAGGGAGATGGGGAGGAGAACGAGGAGGAGGGGGAGGAAGAGGAGATGCGGGTGGAAGAGATTTTATCGAAGAAGTCGTTTAAAGAGATGCAGCAGTCTAAGCGGGGCGAGGAGCTGTTAGAGCTGCTGCAGAAACCCACTGCTAAAGAGACAGCCGTTGCTGCACGGGTATGTATAGGAGGAGGCTGGGGGTATTGTCTTGGAAGTACCCACTGTTCGAAGAGATGCAGCAAGAGTGATGGAAGTAAGGCCTCCGCAGCCCACGTGTCCGTTACTGGCATGTCCTGCACGGGTACATGTATGGGGAGGCCTTGGGGGTTTTAGGATTATGGTCATTCTAAGCTGGAGCTGCTGCAGAGGCCCACTGGCAAGCATGCAGTTGTTGCTGCATTGAACTTTGGAGAATTCTCACAAGTTCAATTAACTCAGCTGGAGCTGCTGCAGAAGCCCACTGGAGCCCACTGCCAAGTATGCAGTTGTTGCTGCATTGGTTATTGATCCTGGAGAGACTTTTGAGACGTCTCAACAGAAGCTCACTGCCAAGAATGCAGTTGTTGCTTGCTGCATTGGTTATTGATCCTGGAGTGGAGAGATGCCTGCCATGTTATTGATGGCACTGTGAATCTGCAAAGCATATTCAAATATATCGTTTCCTCTTTGTTGTTGTTGTTGTTGTTGTTGTTGTTGTTGTTTTTTTTTTTTTTTTTTTTTTTTGAACGAATTGTGCACCTTCAACCCTTCCATAAACCTGAATATGCTGTGTGCCCCCCTCCAGTTCAAGACCAAGGGCGGGTCCATGGTGCGGGAGTATTGCAACCGGCTCACAAAGGACGACTGCCGCCGCCACCGCAACTCATACACTGCTTGCGACAAGGTGGGTGGCATTGTGGTGGTTGGCAAAAGAAACCTTCTACCTTTTAAACTATACCAGTATGAGCATACAGTTAGGAGACGGATCGTGTGTCCCTGTATGCACCTCCCCGCTCTTGTGCCTCTTCCTTCCCTCTTCTGTTCTTCTCCAATTCGCCGCGTCATATTGCTGCACGCATGCGCACTGATTTGAACCTGCCAAAACTGCGATGTTTTGCCTGCACTGCACCGCACACGAACATGAATGATGAACCTGATGAAATGTGATGTTCAGTAATTTCTCAGAGAGCTGCAGTTGATAGGGTCTCTCTCTTTCAGCCGAAACACATGTTTGAACATGTTTGTCCTTGTCTTACTCTACTGCTAAGAGTTTGGATTCTGAGACTGCTTTGAGCACTTGGTTTTACACACAGCGGATTTTTCCGCTGTTGTTCTCTTGCTTGAGCCTACTACACAACTGCAGCTCTCTGAGAAATGACTGGATAATGTACCTGCACCGCACACGAACATGAACCTGATGAAATGCTGAAATGCGGGTGCAACTACCAGTCATCGCCCCCTCTCCTTTCCTTCCCTCCGTTGCTTCCTCTATCTCTCTCCAGGTGCATTTCCGCCGCATCATATCCCCTCACACCGACATGAACCTGGGAGATTGCTCCTTCCTGGACACTTGTCGACACATGAAGGTAACTAAGCTCCGTGACACCTGTTGACACATGAAGTAAGGTAACCAATTCATGTAGCCCCTTTGATCAAAGGAATCGCATGTGTGATGTGATTCTTTTGATCCATTGTATCTGACATGAATCTGGGTAGTTGCTGCTGTTTTGTTGATGGTGTGCTGACACATGAAGGCAGCCAAGCATGAAGGTAGTTTTTTTTTTTTTTTAGTCGACTTCACAAAGAAATTGCTGAGACGACGCCTGAAGTTTTCCCTCCTTCTCCAAACCCCAATTCCCCCCCTCCCCCCAGACGTGCAAGTACGTGCATTACGAGCTGGATCCAGTCCCAGACGAAGCACCCTACGAGGCCATGATCCCCCCAGGGGCCGCATGCGGCCCTGCCTGCATGCATGTACGGCCACAATCCCTCCTTGCTTGAACTCCCTCCTTCTTTGATCCTTGTTACCCCCCCCTCCCCCCAGACGTGCAAGTACGTGCACTACGAGCTCGACCCGGTCCCAGACGGGGCACCCTACGGGGCCATGATCCCCCCAGGGGCGGCTCTCCCCCCCGCCGCGGCTGCTGCTGCAGCCATGGGCATATTCGGCCCCCATGGGGGGCCAATGGGGCCGCCTGGCATGCATGGGCACGGGCCGGCCATGCCCCCTGTGGTGCAGATCAACTCGTTCGGGCAGTACATCCCCTCCACCATTCCAAGACCCTTCGACCGGCCTCCAAGGCCGGAATACTGCTCCCAGGTATGGATTCATTTATGGGAGTGAGTGTGGATATGGGTGTGAATGTGGGCATGGGCATGGGCATGGGCATGGGCATGGGCATGGGCACGGGCACGGGCACGGGCCGGCCATGCCCCCTGTGGTGCAGATTAATTCGTTCGGGCAGTGCATTCCATCGACTATTCACCGTCCGTTCGACAGGCCTCCTCGGCCGGAAAACTGCGAGGGGCATCCCCATGAGCGGAGCTCTGAAAGCCTCTCTGTCTGCCTATGTGCGTTGCAGGTGGAGCTGGGGGAGGCGCAGTGGGTGAACTGTGACATTCGCAACTTCCGCACGGACATCCTGGGGCAGTTTGGGGTGATCATGGCAGATCCCCCGTGGGACATTCACATGGAGTTACCATATGGCACCATGGCTGATGATGAGATGAGAACACTGAATGTCCCGGTGAGTGATTGGCACCTTAAAGCCCATCTAACCCCTTCATGGCGGACCCCCCGTGGGAGCTACCATATGGCACCATGGCGGATGATGAGATGAGAACGCTTAACGTGCCGGCGAGTGCTCTCCGCATGCTCTCTTGTCCCTGTCCTGCACTCCTCTGCGGTTCCCTTCATTCATGACGGACCCCCCGTGGGACATTCACATGGAGAGCTCTCAATGTCCCGGTGAGTGAGTGTGACTGTGTATAAGGTGAGGTGAGTCAACCCCGCTCTCTGCCCAGCCCATCACCAAGCACGGCTCCCTGTCACCCCATCACCCCCTCCTTGGGACATTCACATGGAGCTGCCATATGGCATTTGAGTCGACTTTTGAGGCGCCTAAAATAAAAGCATTCACATGGAGCTGCCATATGGCATTTGAGTCGACTTTTGAGGCGCCTAAAATAAAAGCATTCACATGGAGCTGCCATATGGCATTTGAGTCGACTTTTGAGGCGCCTAAAATAAAAGCATTCACATGGAGCTGCCATATGGCATTTGAGTCGACTTTTGAGGCGCCTAAAATTAAAGCATTCACATGGAGCTGCCATATGGCATTTGAGTCGACTTTTGAGGCGCCTAAAATAAAAGCATTCACATGGAGCTGCCATGCCATATGGCATTTGAGTCGACTCAAATGCCACGTGGCACCATGGCCGATGATGATGAGATGAGGACTCTCAATGTGCCGGTGAGTGAGTGAGTGATTGAATGAGTGAGTGAGTTCGTGTGTGTGTGTGTGTGTATGTGGTGAGTCAACCCTCTCTTTGACCATATCACCCCATCGCCCCCCGTGGGACATTCACATGGAGCTGCTTTGTTGTGGCATGGCACCATGGCTGATGATGAGATGAGGACTCTCGGTGTGCCCTTGAGAATGGCTAGAAGTGAGCTCTGCAGCAAGGATGCCATACCATACTAAAAGACGGCCCTAATCTTCTTCTGGGTGATTTCTGAGATGCAACCCCTTTTCTCCCATCCTTGGGACATGTTCTCAGCGAGCAGCAAACTTCTGAAGCTTCGCAGGTAGCTCTTTGTCCAGCTTCGCCGCGAACTCCTTGCGAAGAATCGTTTTTTAAGTCGACTTAAAATTCGCCGCGAACTCCTTGCGAAGCCGATCTTCGACATTCTCTTTACAAAGAATGATTTCTTGCGAAGCTTCTGGGTGATTTCTGAGGTGCAACCCCTTTTCTCCCATCCTTTATTCTTACATCCCCTTCTCCCCTGTTTCAACCCTCCCCCCAACCCAATGCATCCCCCAGGGCTTGCAAACGGATGGGCTCATATTCCTCTGGGTGACAGGGCGTGCCATGGAGCTGGGGCGAGAGTGGTGAGTGTGGTGATAGTGGGTGGTGAGTGTGACGATATTAGGTGGTGAGTGTGGTGATAGTGGGTGGTGAGTGTGACGATAGCAGGTGGTGAGTGTGACGATAGCAGGTGGTGAGTGTGACGATAGTAGGTGGTGAGCGTGGCAACAGAAGGCAGTGGGACAGCCAACCAGGTGAGCACGTTCTGCAACTCAAATAAAGCTGGAAATTCCAGCTTTTGAGGCGCCTCAAAAGTCGTCTCATTACCCGCAAGCTGGAAATTCCAGCTTTTTGGGAACCTATCATGTTCCCTGTACTTGTCTTAGTGGAACATGATAGGTTATCCCGTGGGAACGGAAGCAAGATCTCGTCATAGGTTCACCCAATTCAAAAGCTGAATATATGTATGCATATATATTTAGGCGTCTATACATGTGTGTGTATTTATATCTGTGTGTGCATGTGTATGCATATTCAAATCTATGTTTGCATATGTATATGAGTATGTATGCAGATTCATGCGTTTGCTTATGTGTACATGAATCTAAACTGATATCTATTTGTATATGTGCATCTAATGACATATGTATATATATACGTATATGTATAAATGTCTACTCCTGCCTACTTGCCTCTTACGTCCCTGCCCGCAGTTTGGAGCTGTGGGGGTACCGGCGGGTGGAAGAGATCATATGGGTGAAGACGAACCAGCTGCAGCGCATCATTCGCACGGGGCGCACGGGGCACTGGCTGAACCACAGCAAGGAGCACTGCCTGGTCTGGTGGGCATCAAGGGCACACGAGGCGCACGGAACACTGGGTGTGGGTCGAACCCCTTGCTTTGAACCTTCCCTCAATCTCTTCAAACCCCTGCGCCCTATTCCGTCTGCAGTTTGGAGCTGTGGGGGTACCGACGAGTGGAGGAGATCATATGGGTGAAGACGAATCAACTCCAACGCATCATCCGCACGGGGCGCACGGGGCACTGGCTGAACCACAGCAAGGAGCACTGCCTGGTGGGCATCAAGGGCGCCCCCCTTGTGAACCGCAACATTGACACCGACGTGATCGTCGCTGAAGTCCGCGAGACGAGTAGAAAGCCCGATGAGGTGAGAGAGCAGGAGGTGGCACGACAAGCCTACATTGGGCGTAAGTGCAGGAGACCAGCAGAAAGCCCGATGAGGTGAGGGCGAGGGAGCAGATGGTAGGAGGCCGATGAGGTGAGAAAGAGCAGTGTTACAAGCGTACATTGGGCGTGCATCGAGACAACATAGACACCGAAGAGCGAGAGACCACCAGAAAGCCCGATGAGGTGAGGGAGAGGGAGCAGGTGGTAGGAGGCCGATGAGGTGAGAAAGAGCAGTGTTACAAGCCTACATTGGGCGTGCATCGAGACAACATAGACACCGAAGAGCGAGAGACAAGCAGAAAGCCCGATGAGGTGAGGGCGAGGGAGCAGGTGGTATGGTAGGAGGCCGATGAGGTGAGAAAGAGCAGTGTTACAAGCCTACATTGGGCGTGCATCGAGACAACATAGACACCGAAGAGCGAGAGACCAGCAGAAAGCCCGATGAGGTGAGGGAGAGGGAGCAGATGGTAGGAGGCCGATGAGGTGAGAAAGAGCAGTGTTACAAGCCTACATTGGGCGTGCGTCGAGACAACATAGACACCGACGAGCGAGAGACCAGCAGAAAGCCCGATGAGGTGAGAGGAGAGAAGGAGCTGGGACCAGTTGAGCGCGGAAAGCAGAAGCTTGATGCGGTGAGGGAGAGGAGAAAGCTGGATGAAATGAGGAGAAAGCTTACCCCCTCTTTCCCCCCTTCTCCCCTCCCCCCCTTTATTCTCTGCCCATCAGAATTACTCCATGCTGGAGCGCATCAGTCCGCGGAAGTTAAGAGCCAAGTTCTCCTCCCTGCAAAAGGCCCTCGTCTTTGATCTCACCTTTTCCTCTCTCCGCTTGTTTTGAGACGTCTCAAAACACCCTCCCTGCAAAAGGCCCTCTTCTTTGACCTCACCTTTCCCTCTCTCCGCTTCCCCATCAGATGTATTCCATGCTGGAGCGCATCAGTCCGCGGACAAGAAAGCTGGAGCTGTTTGCGGCCCATTGTGAAAGGCCCACTTGTGTTTCCGCCTCATGTGTCTTTTTCCTGCCCTCCCTCCCCCTCCTCACACATCAGATGTATTCCATGCTTGAGCGCATCAGTCCGCGGACTCGGAAGCTGGAGCTGTTTGCGCGCATGCACAACACACATGCGGGGTGAGTGGGTGGGTTGGGTGTGGGTGGTGGTGTGTGGGTCGGGTGCACAACACACACGCCAGGTGAGTAGGTTGGGTCAGGGTGGGGTGCGCGTGGGCCGGTTGTGATGGTTAGTAACCCACTGGATGCACACATTCATTCACCCTTCTGTTCACCTCACTTCAGACAGATCACCCAGGGCAATCAGCTGTAAAGCACACTCCCAATGAATGCGCACAGCCGGGCAGCGCATGTTAACGCGCACTCTCGATGTTATACCCTTCCCGCTCCCTGCATACTCCCCTCCCCCCCTTCCTCCCTTTCTCCAGGCACCTGGATATCTCTGGGCAATCACCTGGACGGCTCGCATCTTGCTGCATGGCACGCATCTCCCTGCATACTCCCCTCCCCCCCTTTCTCCCTTTCTCCAGCTGAATATCTCTGGGCAATCAGCTCGACGGCTCGCATCTTCCCTGCATGGGACGCTGACCTGCTCATGTGCTTCCTCTCCCTCACCCTCCATCCCATACACCCCCCAATCACCCTCCTGCACACTCCCTGCACACTCCCCTCCCTCCCTTTCTCCCTTTCTCCAGGCACCTGGATATCGCTGGGCAATCACCTGGACGGCACGCATCTTGTGGACGCTGACCTGCTGGTAGACATGGGCAATCGAGTCAAGTATTGTAGACCTGCATACTCCCCTCCCTTCGTGCTGCCCCCTTCTCCTCCCTGCATACCCCCCTCCCTTTGCCTCACCTCAGCTGGATCTCGCTGGGCAAGCAGCTGGACGGCTCGTATCTTGTGGACGCTGACCTGCTCCCTCCTCTGGGGATGCTTCCTCTCCCTCTCTGACGCTGACCCAGCGTCCATCCCATACACCCCCCATTCACCCTCCTGCACCCTCCCTGCACTCCCTCCTCCCTTCATCTCACCTCAGCTGGATCTCGCTGGGCAATCAGCTGGACGGCACGCGCCTTGTGGATGCTGACCTGCGCAAGAGGTTCAAGGAGGTACGAAGAGGTTCAAGGAGGTACGGAGAGGTTCAAGGAGGTACGGAGAGGTTCAAGGAGGTACGGAGAGGTTCAAGGAGGTACGGAGAGGTTCAAGGAGGTACGGAGAGGTTCAAGGAGGTACGGAGAGGTTCAAGGAGGTACGGAGAGGTTCAAGGAGGTACGGAAAGGTTCAAGGAGGCACGGAGAGGTTCAAAGAGGTACGGAAAGGTTCAAGGAGGCACGGAGAGGTTCAAAGAGGTACGGAAAGGTTCACGGAGGTACGGAGAGGTTCAAGGAGGTACCGAAAGGTTCAAGAAGGCACGGAGAGGTTCACGGAGGTACGGAAAGGTTCGAGGAGGCAGGAGAGGTTCAAGGAGGTACGGAAAGGTTCACGGAGGTCTGGCAAGCTTTTCAAGTTGATTATACTGTCTCAACAACCAATTGGCAGCTGAATGGGGCACGGGTAGCGAGAGAAGCAAGGTTTGAATGAGCTGTCATTTTTTTTGCCTTTCAAGGCTTAACTCCTCTCTCGGCGCTTCCCGATACCTCCCTCTGTGTGACAGGTGTACCCAGATATTGAAATCCAGCCACCAGACCCCCCAGCTGAGGATGGCGCCACAGCCAACGCTAAGTAACATCTGAGTCAACTCTACTGTCATTAAGCATTCCACAGCTCCTCCTAACACGACGCACCCCTGAGACAACTCATCTCAAAACGGGTGTGCCCTGAAGGTGGAAATCCATCTACCAGGCACCCCACGTGAGGATGCCACAGCTGCCATGCCAACACACCTTGTAACGCGAAGCACAACCAGGCATCATGGTGAAGCAATTCTCAACTGCTGTGCTCGTCTATGTGCCTTTGTTGTCTGTAATTTCTAGCATGTAATGATGTTTTTTTTAGAGGCATCTAGTATAGTGCCGCCGACAGCTCTCATGCCTGCAGGTTATGGATTGCAATTCGCGCACAATAAATAACACAGGAAATTGCCATGCTTCTACGCAGCTCAGGTTCTTGTTGCTGCAACAAGAGATGAAGGTAATCAAGAAGAACTGAAATGAACATTGGCTGTGTGCGAAATGGGTGAAGACTTGCATGGTATGTGTAAGGAATTTTCCCGAATTCCTTATCGGGGTTGACTGCTACGCGTACAGCCCAATTTTCAGACTTTACATTCGGCCTATTTCAACGCTGCCGAGGCTCCTCGCGTCGCCTTCGGCATTTCCCATCGCCAAACCTGCACCCCAACCTCGCTCGTCCGAGGTTTCCTCCTAGCTAGGCTAGCCCCTACATTAGTCTGTGCCTTCATTGTATTCTCAGATCAGTTAATCACAGTCTCGGTATTCGTTTACCTGCGCACTCTCTTTTACAACTCATAACAGTATGGTACTACACCAACAAGTTATACGGCATCACTGCTTGTTCCATGCCCTGTACTACGGTATGACAATGGAACAAGGAAAGTACCATCGTCACCATGCCTGCTGCCAGCAGAGTGTATTGATTACTTCCAGTCCAGTGACGTTGGCATAACCACCAGAATAACCAAGAGACACCCGTTGTCTCTTGCAGTCTGCATTGCGAGGACTGAGACCAGCCATCTTAAGGGATATCGCTTCAACCCTCTCTCCCTCTGCTGCACCCACTCACTTCACCCCCACCATCCCTTGAAATCGCTGATTCACACCACTGGGTCACCTATGTTGCCTCTCAGAGTCCCTATTGCGAGGGAGTCCAGCCACCTTGAATGTTGAGGGATGAAGGGATTCGCAGTCACCACTGAATCACCACCGAGTCACGCGCTGTCTCTTGTAGTCCCCATTGGGCGGACTCAGCCCAGCCATCCTGAGCGATATTGATTCAATCCTCTCCCTCTGCTGCGCCCACACAGCTGCCCCCAACTTTTCCCTACTATCGCTACTGGATCACCAGAATCACCACCAAATCACCATTGAGTCACGCGCTGTCTCTTGCAGTCCCCATTGGGTGGACTAAGCCCAGCCGTTTCGAATGTCGAAGGATGAAAGGATTCGCCGTCACCACTGAGTCACCACTGAGCCATCCCTGAGTCACCACTGAGTCACCACTGAGTCACCACTGAGTCACCACTGGGTCACCACTGGGTCACCCGTTGTCTCTTGCAGCCTCCATTGGGCGGACTCAGCCCAGCCATCTTAAGCGATATTGACTCAATCCTCTCCCTCTGCTCCGTCTCCTCCCTCACATCCCGCCAACACCGCTTTACCCTCTCACTCCCTGCTCCCCCTACTCCTCCAGTCACGTCACCACTGAGTCACGCGTTGTCTCTTGCAGTCTCCATTGGGCGGACTCAGCCCAGCCATCTTAAGCGATATTGACTCAATCCTCTCCCTCTGCTCCGTCTCCTCCCTCACATCCCGCCAACACCGCTTTACCCTCTCACTCCCTGCTCCCCCTACTCCTCCAGTCACGTCACCACTGAGTCACGCGTTGTCTCTTGCAGTATCCATTGGGCGGACTCAGCCCAGCCATCTTAAGCGATATCGACTCAATCCTCTCCCTCTGCTCCGTCTCCTCCCTCACATCCCGCCAACACCGCTTCACCCTCTCACTCCCCCCTCCTCCTCGCCCTAAAATCCCTAACCCTCCCGCCTCACATGCCCCTGCAATGCCTCGACCTACTGCTCCCATGCCTGCCCCTACCCCATCCACTACCTCTGTTCCTAACCCCCTCCTCGCTGCTCCCATCCTGCCCGCTGCACCTGCCCCCTCTGTCCCCCCTCTACTCGGGGAAAACGGTCCCGTCCTGTGTGTTGGGCTTTGAAACGGCTCGACACTAGTGGGGGAAAACGGCCCTTGCCTGTACGTGGGGTTTTGAAACGCCTCAACACCCGTGGGGGAAATCGGGCCGGGTCTGTGTGTGGAGGGCAGTGGAATTGCAATTGGGCATGAAGGGCTAGCACCGGGACACAAGAGGTTCAAATCCACTCCATCTTTCACTCCATCTTGAGACGGCCGCATGCTGTTGCTGCCGCCGCTGTAGTTGCTATTGTGGTCGATACTACTACCACCGCCGATAGAAATGCCTCTGTTGCTGTCCATAGCACTGCCGTGCTGCTGACTGCTGCTGAACCCCACAGGGGCTGTTCCGGGGATCGCTGTAGCTGATAATGAACCTGCTTGTACCGAGAGCGCTGATAGCAACGCGGAAGGTGTAGACGAGGCGGCTTGTAACGAGGATAAAGGATCCTCTGCCATTTCTGCATCGGTGAAATTAGGGGTGGCTGTGGTGGCACCGCCGTTGGTGGTTAACCACCGGGCCTCGTTGAAAGAACTGATGGGGAAGAGGGTAGAGGAGGAGAGAAGAAAGAAGAGTGTGAGAGCAGCGAAGAAGGCACAGTGGTGGCACCGCTGTCGACACAGTTCACCACCACATACCAATTGCATTGGTGGCTAACCACCAGGCCTCGTTGAATGAGCTGACGGAGAAGAGGGCAAGGGAAGAAGAAAGAAACACGTAAGGGCAGCAGGGCATAGCGCTGGCTGTGGTGGCACCGCCATTGGTGGTTAACCACCGGGCCTCGTTAAATGAGCTGATGGGGAGGAGGGCAGGGGAAGAAAGAAGAAGCATGTGAGTGCAGAGAAGTTGAGAGGTGAGAGGCGTGAGGTAAGAGGTGGTAGGTGGGAGTGTGGAAGGGTGGGAGGGTGAGAGGGTGGGCGGGCAGGCAGTATCTGACCTGCTGCAAGTAACACCTGAGGAAGGCTTCACCGCCTCAAAAGATGGGCAGGCAGTATCTGACCTGCTGCAAGTAACACCTGAGGAAGGCTTCACCGCCTCAAAAGATGGGCAGGCAGTATCTGACCTGCTGCAAGTAACACCTGATGAAGGCTCCACCTGAGGCTGGTGCACCCCACGTTGTGCAGGCAGAATGCATGGGACGAGGGAGAGCATAACTCACCTAGTACATACAGAGTTACTCAACACACCTGAGACACACAGAGCATAAGGCATACCTGAAGCCGCTTCCACTGTCCATGGTGCGCAGGCGAAATGCATGGGACGAGGGAGAACGCAGGAGCACCGAGGAGCAAATGGCAGCAAACCCCATTAGCTGCTGGTGAAACCTGAGACAGATAGAGCATAAGGCATACCTGAAGCCGCTTCCACTGTCCATGGCGCGCTGGCGGAATGCATGGGACGAGGGAGAACGCAGGAGCACCGAGGGGCGACGCCCACACACGTCGCAAGACAAGCCCAGATGCTCCCTCCTGTTTAGGGGCGCGTAAGAGAGAATGGTGAGTTGACTTTTGAGTCGACTCAAAAATCAGAAGTCATATTGAGTCGACTGAAAATCCACACACGTCGCAAGACAAGCCAAGGTGCTCCCTCCTGTTTGAGGGAGCGTGAGAGAGAATGGTGAGAATGATGGATAATTGTGTGCTACATAAGTGCGCGTGAGATTAAAATAGTGATGGAAGTGATTCTGAGGAGTCACAAAAGCAGCAAGCAATGGTGAAGATATGGAAAATACCGTCCATACCTCACCATACCGCATCATACCTCACTAGTCCCCACAGTGCCTTGCTATACCTGGCCATACCTCCCCATACCCCACCATTTCCCACCATACCCCAGCATACCCCAGCATACCCCAGCGTACCCCGGCATACCCCAGCATACCCCAGCATACCCCAGCATACCCCAGCATACCCCAGCATACCCCAGCGTACCCCAGCATACCCCAGCATACCCCAGCATACCCCAGCATACCCAAGCATACCCCAGCATACCCCGCCACACCCCACCACACCCCACCATACCCCACCACACCCCAGCATACCTGGAGTAGCATTCCACAAACTCATCAATCAGCACTGGCCATGCCCCTGCCATGACAGGGGAAAGGGAGAACACAGAGAGGCAGAGGGGAGGGGCGGCGGGAAGATGCAGTTTGTGAGGTGGCAAAGGAACGAGGAAACACCAAGTGGATGCAGAATCAAGAAGAAAGAAAAAGCTGGGCACAGCAAGGTGGATAGAGGGTAGATAGACATACCACTTTCAAGAGCAATGTTGGCCGTGCATGCAAGCGAATGCACTCACACACACTCAAGTTGTACATGCTGACATCAGCTTACCATCCGAGTCATACATGCTGAGGTCAGCGCCAATCGTGCAGCTGAAATCCAGCACCTGCTGCCACGTGTCCTCTGAGACTGCATACCGCTGGTGCAGCTGTGGGAGGGAAGATAGGAGAGCCGGAGGGGAACGAGATGAGGCGAGAGGGTGAGGGTGAGAGGAGAGGACGGAGTTGGGAGAGCCGGACGGGAGAACTTAGTTTTGAGTCGACTCGAAACAAAGAGGTAGGAGAGCTGGAGGGGAACGAGACGAGGCGAGAGGGTGAGAGGAGAGGACGGAGTTGGGAGAGCCGGACGGGAGAGCTGGAATCCAGCCAGCGCCTGCTGCCAGATACAGCATACTGCTGATTCAGTTGAGGGAAAACGGAGCGAGGGGGAGTGAAGTGAAAGGACAGGTGAAGGGGCAGATGAGATGAAGGGGCAGGTGCAGGAGCAGGTGAAGGGCAGGTGAAGAAAAGGGGCAGGTGAGGAGGAGAGAGCCTACCGGGACAAAGTCACACCAAGAATCCACAAGGGGGAAGACACCCGCTAGGGCAAATCTCCACGCCTCCACAGCTGTTGCCACGTCTGCACGACACAAAGGTTTCATACTATTATACATCGAGTCAGGCGCCTAAAAAATCACACAATTGCACCGAAATCCAAGAAGGGAAATATTTCTGCCCAACGCGAATCTGCAAGCTAGACTTGATACGCGTGGAGGAAAGTGAGAGGTGTTCGGTAATGTGTTTTGCCTCGACGTTACAGAAACCACAACTCACCTACGCCCTTCTGCCCCTGCTCTCGGCTCATGAAGAACACAAACTTGTAAAACACACGGAATGCGCGCCCGCCCAGAGGATTGAGCTGGAAAAGGCAAGAGAAGCGTGAGAGGGCATAGGAATAGAGAGAAAGAGAAGTTACATGAACAAATCGTTGGAGAAAGTAAATCGTGAATTACACAAACGGGGATAGATGGAGCTGCAAGCGGGTCGGGGTGCACAAAAGGGGTTAGTGAAAAGGGATGAAGAGACGAATGACCAAAGGCGGCATGTGTGATAACCAGACTCTTGAAGAAAGAGGGTTACAAATCAGTAGGGAAGAGAGGAGAGAAGCGTCTGAAACACAGCTGCCAATGACCTAGTAACTCACCTCCCACATACTTTGACAGACAATCGTAAATTTAAAAAAAAAAACGTTTTGTTATCAACTCAGCATCTAACGCAGCCAGTGTGACTTTAAGTTAACTCAGAAGTCACCTCGTAAGTATGGCACACAAACACTGCTTACCAACCTGATCACTCAGTGACTGCCGTAATCTGTGGAGACTGGGAAGGGCCATAGCTCTGCACAGAGGGGAGGAGGTGGAACAGGAGGAAGGAAAGGAGAGGAGTAGGGAGGGGAGGGAGAGGGAGGGGAGGAGTGGGGAGGGAGAGGGAGGGGAGAGGTGGGGAGGGAGAGGGGGACAGGTGTGGGGAGGGAGAAGGACGGGAGGGGTGGGGAGGAGATAAAAGTGGAGGTGAGACGTTGACTGATAACGAGTCAGTCTTTACACGTTATTCCACCACATAGCACCATGTACGTGAATCACACGCCCTTGAGTCTACTCTTGAGGCGCCCTAGGAGTGAAACTCTCTCAGAGGGACCCTTGAGTGATATAGGCAGGCAGAGCACACCAATGGTAACAAGGTAGAAAAAAAAAGGGTGACGCAGCAGGCATGCGTTAACGCAGGCAAGCAGTAACGCAAGCAAGCAGTAGCGCAGGTAAGCGGTAACGCAGGCACACGGTAACGCACCCTGTGAGGCCTTGCGAGCTTGCATACGCCGAGATGGCTGCGAGTCTCGCCTTGATGGCTGCTGCTGTGTCGCTTGACGCCAAGATGCCTGACCGGAGACGAGAGGGGACGAGGGGACGAGGGGGCGAGGGGGCGAGGAGGCGAGGGAGCGAAGGGACGAGGGGGTGAGGGGGCGAGGAGGCGAGGGAGCGAGGGGACGAGGGGGTGAGGGGGCGAGGGGGGGTTTGAGGCAGAGGATAAGAGAGGATCTAGTTCCGAGCAAGGGTTTAGGTAGCACGGAGATCCACGGAAACGGACCAGACGAGGGGGAACACGGCATGGAAAAGATTTGGTGGACAGGGTTGAGGAGTGGAAGGATGAAGTACTTGGCGCGAAGGAAGGGTTTCATCTCAAGCTAACAAGCAGAACCCAAGCGGTTTTGAAGACGAGAAGAAGCAACTTCCGAGCAAGGGTTTAGGTAATAACCGGTAAAGCTTACTGGAGTACTCTCGAAACAGCTCTCGCATCTCGAAATCACGCTGCGACGCCGATGCCCCGTCGCCAGACGATCGCAGGGTCGCGCCAGGCGAAGCTGACGCCGGACGGATCCTGGGGTCGATCTGGGCTGGACCGACCCTGGTGTCGACCTGGGCTGAACCGAACGAGTGCGCGGATGCGGGTAACGACGCGCGAGGAAAGGTGACGCCGTGAAGTTGAGCGTGCATGGCTGAAGGCCCCATGGTGTCTGGTAATTCTCAGTACAGTCAGTCTGAGCAGTCAGTCTGAGCAGTCAGTCTGAGCAGTCAGTCTGAGCAGTCAGTCTGAGCAGTCAGTCCAAGCAGTCAGTCCAAGCAGTCAGTCCAAGCAGTCTGTCTGAAAGTAGTAGAATCCTATGGTTCCGAGGCCCCGACGAATATCGTCTAAAGAAGGTCTCAAAGTGATGGAAACAATATCGATAATTTCGAAGGGCCTCGCAGACGTGGTTGCTAAACGGCGTCAAGCGCACGGCTTCAGACAACCTCGTAATAGGTTTAACCCTCGAGGTGCCTGACTTCACAAGCTCTTGAAGGCGAGGGGGAAGAGATCCACACAGCTCCACCGGTGCTCGGAGAACAAGCTGCTGACGACGGGATGAGAGACGAATCGACCAGATTTCACCACCGCTGACGGCTCTGATAGATCCTGGAAGCGGGTAACTGGATGCGGCCAGCTCCAGCGTTGTGACGGTAACTGGAAGTCCAGACGACGATAGCGATGAACCAACGAAATTTTCACTAACCCTGACGACGGTGACCTTGTTGCTCTGTTAGCGCTAAGGTTGTAAGGAACAATGGGTGGAACCAGAGGAGAAAGGCAAACTGCCTACACGGCAGAGCAATCTGACGCGGTCTAATAGGCGGCGTCGCACTCCAAACATGTATTGACGAGTTAGACTAACTCGTGGTTGTTCAAGCACAATGCAACCAATGGATGCCTAAAGTCTGAACAGAATATGGTCCGACAAACGACATGGCGTGTGGAGGACAATACAACAGTACAGTACGAGGGAATACATGAATGCGATCTCAGCCTCTCTCTGAAACAGAGAGCGCGTAAACGGGCTCCTTCCGGACTTGCACTTTTCATGGTTCGCGTGTACTTCGAACAGAACTATTGCTCTCCATGGTGGCACTTTCCGTATCATACGGACCGTATGTAGAGATCTGCCCGTTCGATTTCAAGAAGCACTTAGGGCGACGTCAGGTTGCACAACTTCTGTACGCTCCCTAAGGTCGGCTTTCGTCACGATGCTGACGGCAAATCTTGGAAAATGCTTTCCACCGTATGGAACCGTCCTGACCCACGTCACGAAACCTTGGAAATGTGCGACAAATGTGCCACCTGACGTCACCTTTAGGTGACATCTTGGTTGATTCGGACGGGACGACTGCAGTGCTCCGAGGGACTTGTTTTATCAGGATTGGAGGTTGATCGTTCATCCATCATCCATCCACTCCTGGTCATCATCTTGGCAGGAATGGTAACGTTTTGACGAGTCGGCCTGACGATTCGCATTGCGTTATACGCTCATAATAAAGTGATTTCACTTACGGAAGTGATGCATCAATAGTTAGATACAAGCCCTCACCAACCATACTTCCATTCCTTTAAACAATTCCTGAATCAGCAGGTGACGTAGCTCTTTTATAAGAGTAAATAATTTTGGCACACCCAACTCACTCTCAACATGGTCGAGTGGTTGTTATGTTAGTTTAACTGGGAAAATAAGGAGTTAATTTTTCCTACAATTGTGTAGCTAATTCTGCTAACACCTGCTTCATCTCTAGTTGGTTACGTTAGATTATCTGGGAAGAGTAGGCTATATCTATATTTCATGTAGCTCATTTGCAACACTTGCCTCATCGTTAGTTGGATTGTCCGAGCTGCCCTGCGATTCAACTTCATGCTGCAGCCCTCGATACAGTGTCGAGTCAGGTAACACGCAATATATATTGTTCGGTCTGTGCGGTCAAATTCGTTGCGTCACGGTGCAAAACTGTAAAGCTCGAAAACCGCTTTTCACCGTGTGGGAAAGTTATGAGCCACGAAGAACGAGGTGTTAAATGTAAATACTGGAAACCCGCTGACGTGCCACACAACTCGGCAATCCCAGAGCAGTGAATTTGCATCACCTGCTGCGCTGGCATTTCTCAACTTCCTTGACGTCCCATTTCAGGAACCAGAATTTGAACTACCTGCTTGTTTGGTTCCTAATTAGGCTGGTTCTGGCAATCCATGGATTGTTTATATCACCGTAGAAGCGCATGAAGATTAAGCTTAATAAACTCTTCCGTGTAGTCGTGTGCACGTGGTGTTCCTGAAGCTCAGACATAATACGACCGGAGGGAGCAAAAGCCAACCTAGCAATGCTTTTCTAGATTCCAGTCGCAATGGCTGACCGTAGCGTGCGACGTGGACGTGCGACTGCGACTGCCAGCCGCAGCGCCACCATTGGCGACAAAAATGGTTCTCGCCAAGTCCCTGCAGGCGAAACCATGGGCTGGACGTCAGAGCTATGCCGGAGAATGCTACGCCAAGTAAGAAATCCAACGGCGAAATCTATTGGCGCTTAGCTGTTTACTCACGTTTACTATCCGCAAAGGCGAGTTTCGAGAATAAGTGCTTTTGCCAGCGAGCGGCCGGCAAGCAGCCGTTACAACGCCAGAAACAGCTTGCCTATTAACGTCAGGCGCATCTATTCCGGTACAATGCAGTCCAGGCTAATCTGTTCCTTGTTTGAGAGGATAAGCCAATGATTCCTGATATCATTTCCACGAAAATTCATTTCCACCATGCCTCTGGCAGCACCTACTCGGTTTTCCAAGGTTGGCTGCGTAGACTCGGGTAGGTTGCTACGCCACCTTTCTGTACACTCTCACGTGGTATGCATTCCTATAACGAAGATACATTTATATATACATACATATATATGTATCAATCTTTTGAAAAAATCCGGTTACTGTGCAGGCGGAAGCAGGCATTGCATCAGGAGCAGGCGACGAGCTGCAGGAATATCTGGCTTCAGCGGACTTGCTGGAGGACGTAGCCACCCGTGTCAGCCACGCCCTTGCCGTCCCTGCTGTTGCTGCCTCTCCTGGTTCTTCTACTGCCTCTGCTACTGATCCAGCTATTGGGGCTGGCTCGGGTGCCACGGAGTGGCTGGAGCTGCAGCAGCAGGCAATATCCCTGCAGCGCACGGTGGTGGACGACTTGAGCTTCGAGCTTCAGAGCCTGCTGCAGCGCTACAGGTGAGCGCTGTGTGGCTTATGCAGCACAATGTGTGCTATATGGCACATTTGCTTCTCCCAGCACAGAAATCCGCAACACTGTTCATACTCCCTGGGCTGGGTGTCTGCTGCCTGTCCCCTCCTTATGCTCAAAACCTCCCGCTTCGTTTTCCCCTTTGTCACCATTTACACCCCTGACGCAACCCGGTGTATCACCTCCCTGCAGCACACGAGCTGCAGCATGGTTCACTCCAGAGCGCCTATCTCTCCGTCTCCCCAAACCCCATTCATTCTTCTCCTTCATCGTCCTTTACCTCCCCTCCCCACCAACCGAACCAAATGTATCACCTCCCTGCAGCACACGAGCCTCAGCAAGGTTCACTCCAGAGCGCCTCGAGGTCCTATTCCGCATCGCCTTCCTGGAACCTTCCTCTGCTTCACATACCGACGACCCCAGCTGTAGCCCTCGCAGCTCCACCGGCTGTAGCCCAGGCCACACCAGCCCTGCTCGCTGTCCAGCTGGCAGTCCAGCTGGCAATGGCATGCCACGTCCTTCTACTGCTGCTGGTTCTGAATCTGTGGATGCCAGGGGTGCTGCCTCTGTAGCTGCTACTGGTGATGATGGTGGTGGTGATGCTGCTTTAGCTGCTGGAGATGGTACTGATGCTGGTGCAGCTGGTGATGGTGCTGTAGCAGCAGCAGCAGCTGCAGCAGCAGCAGCAAGTGGTAGTTCTGGAAGTGGGATTGGCGGGAATGGTGCACCCAAGCACATTGCTGCTGACGTGGAGCATGGTGCCAACGTGGACATGCTGATGCCTGAGCTCCTTCCGGATAACGCGCTGCGATTGGCCGGGGAGATCTGCAGCAGGATGGTGGCAGCAGGGGGTGGCTCACAGCTTGTGGAGACGTACAGGTGAGATGGTGGTGGTATGGTTTGTTCTCTTTGCTTCTTCTTTATCTATGATGGTAAAATGTTGCTGTTTTATGTCATACACGTGGGATGGATGGCTTAATACCAACAAAACACAACGTATCATTAGATGTATCTTGTTTCTTCCGTCCTTCCAGAAAAGTACGCAGCAGCTTCCTGAAGCAGGCTGTGGAGTCTTTGAACAGCCACCTGGATGGTGGGGCGGCGGAAGCAGCAGCAGTGGGCAGCATGGGATGGAGCGACCTGGAGCTCACCAGCAAGCAGTGGGCTCAGCACGTGTACCTGCTGGTGAGAGACAGGAGAGGAGAGGGGCACGTATACTTGCTGGTGAGATTAGACTGCTGATGTAGAGAGCAAGAAGTCGAATTTCCTAACAACGACCCGGAGCTCACCAGCAAGCAGTGGGCTCAGCACGTGTACCTTCTGGTGAGAGACGAGGCACGAGAGAAGTTAGAGGGGTGAGAGGGGTGAGAGAGGCGAGAGGTGTGAGAGGGGTGAGAGAGGCATGAGAGAGGCATGAGAGGCGGGCAGCAGGGGTGTTTGACACATTGCCCCATCCCACTCACCTCACCCCACGTACCCCCTTCCTCATTTAACCCTCCCATTGCAGGTAGGCGTGGTGTGGGGCATGGAGCGGCAGTGCATAGAGGACATCCTCCCCCCATCCACCCCTGCCCACACCCCCCTCCTCCACACCCTCCTCTCCGCTCTCCTCCAAGACGGCCACGTCATCTCATCTCCTCCTTCCTTGTTGGGCCGGCTGAAACCCCCGTGTGCATGGAACAGTGCTTAAAACGAGCTGGCTTTATCCCCTCCCTTCCACAAATCTCGCTTCTCTGCACCCCTCTCCCTTCGTCTCTTCTCTCGCCCTCCCATTGCAGGTGGGTGTGGTGTGGGGCATGGAGCGGCAGTGCCTGGAGGACATCCTCCCACCATCCACCCCTGCCCACACCCCCCTCCTCCACACCCTCCTCTCCGCCCTCCTCAATGACGGCCACGTCATCTCCTCCCTGCACTCTCTCGCCCAATCAGCTGCCGCCATCTGTCGCCGCGGCCTGCCCCAGCAGCTGTTCTCGCTGCTGGAGATGCTGCAGGCGCTGCAGGAGGTTATGCCTGAGGTAGGTCATCTGGGGTAGGGTCATCTGGGGTAGGGTCATCTGGGGTAGGGTCATCTGGGGTAGGGTCATCTGGGGCAGGGTCATCTGGGATAGGGTCATCTGGGGTAGGGTCATCTGGGGTAGCCTCATCCGGGGTAGGGTCATCTGGGGTAGGAGGACTCCCTGGCATTGGGTCTCTCACACTCCCAGTCCCTCTCTCACGCTTCCCCCCATGGCATGGCATCATCAGCTGGAGGAGCACCTTTGCTACGTGAGCCTCTATACTGAATGGTGCTCGTTGCAGTCACTCTCGCTCACCCGCTCCCCTGCACCTGCTCCCCCCTTCTCCCTGCTCCACGTCTTCCCAACTGCCCCCCTCCTCCACAGCTGCAGGAGGACCTTTGCAGCGTGGGCCTGCACTCAGAGTGGCGCTCGTTACAGTCACTCCCGCTCACCCTCTCCCTCGCCTCGCTACAGTCACTGCAGGCCATGCACAGCTGCATCGTTCGAGCCGGTAGCCTCACCACATTAGACGGAAGTGCAGGGGGGGCAGGAGGGGAGAAAGGAGGAGAGAGAGGAGGAGGGAGAGGAGGGGAGGGGGGAGAGGGAGAGCGGGGTGGGGGGGCTAGGGATGGTAGGAAGAGTAAGTCAGCTATGGCGTCAAGTGCTACACCCTACAGCCCGAGAGAAAGAGCTGCAGTATCTAGCCCCAGGTTCGGTGCTACAGCCGCCAGCCCCAAGCTCGGTGCTACAGCCGCCAGCCCCAAGCCCAGGCCCAGCGTTGCAGTCCCTGGCAGCACCAGTCCACCGCATGGTGCTACAGCCGCTAGCCCCCGTGTTGGCGGTGCTACAGCTTCCAGCCCAAGATGGGGCGCTACAGGCGCTTTAGGTGCCACAGCCACCCAGGGTGCCACACCTGCTAGTCCAAGGTGGGGTGCTGCAGCTGCCCTGGGCGCTACAGCCGCGTTCGGTGCTACAGCCGCGGCTCTTGTGAGCCCGAGAGTGCGTGGGGCAGTCAGGGCGCTCACTCGCCGGGCCTCAGACGCGTCAGTGCTGGCCAATAGCGACGCGCCAGGTGGCGGGAGCTCTGCAGCACCACCTGGAGGAGGCGTGGACCCGATTACAAGCTACGTGTGTAACTTCATACAAAGCTTCCTCTCCCCGTGAGTGCTGCTTCCTCTCCCTATGAGTGCTGCCTGCACGTTCATCAATAATTTTTGGAGGCTTTCAAAAACCACTCTCCCCTCCCATTCCCATCTTTTCAGGTCAGGTCGTCGCAACTATGCTGCTACCTTGGCAACTGCCTGTACCCTTATCAACCGCAGCAGCCGCATGCCTCCCTCCCCTTCCTCCTCCCCCTCCCGCTCCTCCCATCAACACACATCAGCAGCAGAGGCAGCAGCAGAGGTAGCAACAGAGGCGGCAGCAGAGGCAGCAGCACGGAAGGCCTTACACGAGACAAGAGCAGCAGCAGTGGCAGGGAGAGGAGGAGGAGGAGGAGGAGGAGGAGGAGGAGGAGGAGGAGGAGGAGGAGGAGGAGGAGGAGGAGGAGGAGGAGGAGGAGGAGGAGGAGGAGGAGGAGGAGGAGGAGAGAGAGGGAAGGGGACAGGTGGTCGGAAAACCCCTCCCAGGCTGAGTCTAGATAGCAATACAGCAGGAGAGAGAGGAGGAGGAGGAGGGGTGTTTGAGGGCATGCTGGGGGGAGGGAGTGAGAGAGTGAGTGTGGAGCTGCTCGTGGGTGTGCTGGTGGTCTCGCTGAGGGAGTATTTGGATAAGAGAGCAGCTTATATCGAGGATGCAGCCATGAGAGAGCTGTACCAGATGAACAATCTACACTACCTTATGCAGTCCATGTAAGACGCTCTGCAAATGTCCGCAGTAATTTTGCGTGCGAGCATTCTTCTGACTTTCTTCCTTCTGCCCATTTCTACCTTCTGCCTATTCCTCCCTTCTGCGTTTTTCTCCCTTCTGGCCTATTTTTACCTTCTGCCGATTTCTCCATCTGTGTGCCTTAACCTTTTCGCCCGTCCCAGGAACTCGTGGGGAGGGTGGAGGCAAGGGGGGCTCCAACAGGCTTTTGCTGATGCCAAGGGGTAATGCTTCTCATGCCTCATGCCTCATGCCTCATGCCTCATGCCTCATGCCTCATGCCTCATGCCTCATGCCTCATGCCTCATGCCTCATGCCTCATGCTTCATGCCTCATGCCTCATGCCTCATGCCTCATGCCTCATGCCTCATGCCTCATGCCTCATGCCTCATGCTTCATGCCTCATGCCTCATGCCTCATGCCTCATGCCTCATGCCTCATGCCTCATGCCTCATGCCTCATGCCTCATGCCTCATGCCTCATGCCTCATGCCTCATGCCTCATGCCTCATGCCTCATGCCTCATGCCTCATGCCTCATGCCTCATGCCTCATGCCTCATGCCTCATGCCTCATGCCTCATGCCTCATGCCTCATGCCTCATGCCTCATGCCTCATGCCTCATGCCTCATGCCTCATGCCTCATGCCTCATGCCTCATGCCTCATGCCTCATGCCTCATGCCTCATGCCTCATGCCTCATGCCTCATGCCTCATGCCTCATGCCTCATGCCTCATGCCTCATGCCTCATGCCTCATGCCTCATGCCTCATGCCTCATGCCTCATGCCTCATGCCTCATGCCTCATGCCTCATGCCTCATGCCTCATGCCTCATGCCTCATGCCTCATGCCTCATGCCTCATGCCTCATGCCTCATGCCTCATGCCTCATGCCTCATGCCTCATGCCTCATGCCTCATGCCTCATGCCTCATGCCTCATGCCTCATGCCTCATGCCTCATGCCTCATGCCTCATGCCTCATGCCTCATGCCTCATGCCTCATGCCTCATGCCTCATGCCTCATGCCTCATGCCTCATGCCTCATGCCTCATGCCTCATGCCTCATGCCTCATGCCTCATGCCTCATGCCTCATGCCTCATGCCTCATGCCTCATGCCTCATGCCTCATGCCTCATGCCTCATGCCTCATGCCTCATGCCTCATGCCTCATGCCTCATGCCTCATGCCTCATGCCTCATGCCTCATGCCTCATGCCTCATGCCTCATGCCTCATGCCTCATGCCTCATGCCTCATGCCTCATGCCTCATGCCTCATGCCTCATGCCTCATGCCTCATGCTTCATGCTTCATGCTTCATGCCTCATGCCTCATGCCAAGTAATTAAGAGTATTTGGTGCATTTGCCTCGTGCTTGTGCGTTCAATTCTCAAACAATGCTATTACGCATGAGAATGTCTTTACAATCACATTCACCACAGGAACGGCAGGTTGGAGCTGGCTCTAGCCCTCTCCACGTTCATCGATGGGAGTACCCTTCAGAAGCACGTGGCTGCCTTCCAGACCTGCGCTCTCAGCAAGGTGTGTCACACGCACCCCTGCCACTCACTTTCATTGGTCATTCTATTTGGGTTGGCGAGTAAGCATACACTCGTTTGGTTGCTTATATGGACATGACTCCAGTAGGCTGCTTTCCCTTACTTCAGAAGCATGTAGCTGCCTTCCAGACCTGCGCTCTCAGCAAGGCGTGCAAGGCTCTTTGCGTTTTTTTTTTTTTTTTTTTTTTTTTTTTTTTTTTTTTTTTTTTTTTTTTTTTTTTTTTTAAGTTTCTTTCGCCTGAAGGGCTGTTTGTGTTTTGTTGTGCTGTGATTCTTTCCCTCTCTCTTTCAGAAGGGTTTTTATGTTGTGCACTCTGGTTTTGTTCTGATGGTTACTATGAAGTTTCTATGGAGGCTAAAAACAAAAATTCCCGCCCTCTTATCGTTGCTCCAGGCAGTAGCAGCCATGTCAGACCCCCCGTGGCCGCTAGACTTCGTCCCTGCATTCACTTCACCAAGCCTGCCTTGTCCCACTTCCTCTCCATTCCCTCCCTTCTCTCTCTCCGTTTCTCCCTAACTCTCCTCTCCGTAATTCAGGTATTAGCAGCCATGTCAGACCGCCCTCGGCCCCTTGACTTTGTCCCGGAGTGCACCAAGCCTGCATCGTCCCTCTGGCCTTTCTCCCACTCAGACGGGGGCGACCACGAGGTGCTGGCTATGAGCGACCTGCTCAGGTGAGAGCCTGGTGTCAGGATGGGATGGGGTGCCTAAGGACAATGTTAGTGCAGATGCGAGTGCATGGGATGGAGGGGCGACCATGAGGTGCTGGCTATGAGCAAGCTGCTCAGGTGAGAGTCTGGTGTGAGGGCTTGGAATGTGACTCGTTTCCCTCACTTGCAGCTATTGTCTCATCTCAGCATTAGTCCCTTCTCGTTTCCCTGTGGTCCTTCTCCCACGCGGACGGGGGCGACCACTAGGTGCTGGCTATGAGCGAGCTGCTCAGGTGATGCTGTGCGTGATTCGGTCCTTGTGTGTGTGCATGTCCCGTCCCCCAAGTCAGGGAGTTTTAAAGAATTCTCAAAAACTCCCTGCAGCTTGGTGCGTGATTCGGTCCTTGTGTGTGTGCATGTCCCGTCCCCCAAGTCAGGGAGTTTTAAAGAATTCTCAAAAACTCCCTGCAGCTTGGTGCGTGATTCGGTCCTTGTGTGTGTGCATGTCCCGTCCCCCAAGTCAGGGAGTTTTAAAGAATTCTCAAAAACTCCCTGCAGCTTGGTGCGTGATTCGGTCCTTGTGTGTGTGCATGTCCCGTCCCCCAAGTCAGTTTCACGCATGCCATGTCGACTTAAATGCCATGCCGTTGCACATGCCATCACGCATGGCATGACACATGGCATGGCATTACACATGCCATCATCCATGACATCACGCATACCATCCCACATGCCATGATGTGTGGCATGCTGAGGGCGCTCAACAAGGCGATGGAGGAGCTGGTGGAGGTGCAGAAACGGTGGGCCATAGTATCTCACCATGTCTCATCACTCCGTACCGCTCTTCACCCATTTCCACGCCATGCATGGCAGGCTGAGGGCGTTCAACAGGGCGATGGAGGAGCTGGTGGAGGCACAGAAGCGGTGGGCCATCCCGGATGCTGCACTGCGACTGCGCGTCTGCACCGCATGGGCTGCTTGCCTCAAGGACCGATACCGCAAGCTGCTGCAGCCTCGCTGGTATGTGCTGCTGACAAGGTGTTAACATGTTGCCCTGTCACTGTGTGCTTGTATGTGTTCGTCTGCACCGCATGGGCTGCTTGCCTCAAGGACCGATATCGCAAGCTGCTGCAGCCTCGCTGGTATGTGCTCTCTTTTGCATCCAGGTATGTGTGCTAGTAATGAGTGTGAGTCTGCACCGCATGGGCAGCTTGCCTCAAGGACCGATGCCGCAAGCTGCTGCAGCCTCGCTGGTATGTGTTCTGTTTTGTAGTTACCCCAATCCACTGCTGCCCTGGGGTATGTGCGCTAGTACTGAGTGTTGGTTTGTACTGCCTGAGCTGCTTGCCTCGAGGACCGATACCGCAAGCTGCCGCAGCCACGCTGGTATTTGCTGGTTTTATATGCGGTTGATGGTACCGTGAGCACTTACGGTAACTTGCTTGTCTCTGTCATCCATCTTTATGCAATAGGTGAGTTAACTTGCAGCAGTTGAAGGGTATCCATCTGAGGGTGATTCGCGAGCAAATCATGCACCCATGCTCTCCCGTCCTTTAAATTCACAGGGACGATTTGATCACATCCAAACATTACTTGCATACACCCGAGAGCTTGGAGTTGATGGTTATGGAAGATTTCTTCCATTAAATTCGAGGATAGCGTGCTAGATGCTGTCCTTGGGTATAATCGTTTTCAGAAAAGCTGTAGTCATCATGCTTACTGGACTATTTTATAAAAAGGTTATGTAGACAAGGTATCCTGTTCTCATTAGTGTAGGTGTTTTGCTGACCTCTAGTCGCTGACCCCAGCCTCCATTACCTCCATCGTGATTCGTCACGAAAGACGTCCATGTCTAAAGTACACTTGTCGTGAGTCTCTCCGAGTTTCGGCGCCGCTTGGCGAATCGTCGTTGTCGTTCAGCCCGGCCAGCACTTCGACAAGCACCCATATTTGTCGGCGGGCAGTTTGTCAGAAATGCCTGAAGCCTTACGAAGTTTTTTGGGGTATCAGAAGAAGCCTTCGAGAAAAGGAGTTGCAAGGCCCTGAAATCTGGGTGGTATTCCATATGGTGAATTGTAACTTCTTCGAGAACACAACAGCCCGCACTATTCGCCTTCAAAACGCGCCCTCAGGGTCACCTCCACCCTCGTGCTCTCCCTTTTGGCCGCCATGTCGGCCGGAGCAGAAACCCCCCCACCCGACTGGCCGGCCACATCCCAACCCAACCATTTCCAATCGTTGGATCGAGTGCAAGAGCCCCAGCCCCACCACCACCAGCCTACCCCTAAGCAAAAGGAGGAACACAGCCTCAGTCCCACACTCCACCAGGACCGCCAAGCCAAGGGAGGCCAAACCCGATCAGCAGCAAAGCTTTCTTTCCATTTCGGCGGTGTTCGCCAGCACCTTTGAAAGCGGAAACGACGGGATCAGGAAGGTCAGTCACGCCTTCCTGATCCCGTCAGCTAGGGTTCGTTAAGCTCCGTCAGCCTGGTCAGCCCGTAAAATTCCTGCCGAAGCTAGGATGCCGTCCGATCCTAATGCAATCTTTGGTGCCTGGCGAACGCCCACAATTTTCTCAATTATCGGATGGAAACATGGCATTTGGAAATGGGGATGTGATTTCCTCCCCGGGCAAACGTCCCGTCTCATGCCATCCCATGGCAATCCACCATGTGGGTTGGCGCTGTAATTGGCTGTTGGGCCAATTGGGGGGAAGGTGGGGAGACAGGTTCCATATGCGGTTGTAAAGTTTCCCATTTCATGGCCCAAAATTTCGCGAGCGGCATTTCGCCCAGACCTCTTCGGAGGGTTCTGGCCCCGCTTCCTGATGCCGTTGCCAGTCCGACGCCTTCCTTTCTCTTCCAATCTCACATGTGCTGGCGAACACCGCCTTCGTTCTGATTGTTTTTTTCCTCCCATTTGCTCTCTGGTCTGTCAACCGCGCTGACTGCTTCTTTCCCTCTCCGACAGCGCTGCCCGCGTGAAACTTGCTGACAGCATGTAACGTCGTTTACTGTAGAATAGCGACTCGAACCACGCAGTCTCTCCTCTCTCGTGCGACGCGACGCGAATGTCGCTCAATGCAGGTGGTACTCAGCTCGGCGGGACTGGGAGTGATGAAAATCCTGCTTGCCTCCCGTTGAGACGCTTGGACCTGGACAGTGCAGCGCAAACGCCGCGCAGCGCAGAGCATCGGAGCAGCATATATTAGTAGCACTGGCAGTGCGGCGCGCTGAAGGTTGTTCTTGTCCTCCACTATAAACGGAACATCCTGCGATGATCGTACGTAGTCGGAACGGGTTGTCAACCTGCTCTACCGAATTCTAGAAATCAGAAAACCACTTCGCTCTGATTTCAGGAAGTTCCAGGTTTCTCGAGACTTTCAGCCCACTCCGACGGTTGAACCGACTACTTTCAGTGGAAGCAGCAGTCCAAAATCCGCAGCTCGAAACTGGCGGAAGAAAATAAGTATTCAGCACAGTCTAGATAATTGATTCCGTTTCACGACTATGGAAAAACGGGTTCTTATCGTCGCGGTTCTCGCAGCTCTCCTCTGTCTAGCGAGCTTCGCGCCGCGTGTGGCGGAAGCGGCAATCGCGCGTCCGACGAAGGAGCAACTGAAGGCGGAGCTTGGGAAGCTGGCGGAGAGCGTGGCGAAGAAACGCCCACGATACTCGAATTTCACGAGCACCGTCAACAACTTTTTTGGCCTCGCAAGTAAGTGGCTTTGGCCTCACATGTAACGCGTTGCTATAGTATCGGATGTCCCTAAGATCATGTATCCTTGGTGGGCCGGTACGCGATTTACAAGGGCTCGCGTTGGAGTGTAGTAACAGCTCTTGCGATGACTATTAATGTATCGGAGCATGGCGAAGTACCCGTGCCATCCATTGTCTTACAAGGCATTTCGGCATTTCTGATTCCGAACCTAACGAGTGACTTTTGAAACAAGTTGAGTTTATGCATTAGTTAGGAAATGCAGAATTGATTTTTGAAAAGAACAAATTACTCCCCACCCCAATCAACACCCACTATAATCCCTCCTCCCTCTTTCCCCATCCCCCCTCCCTACAGTGAATTCGAAGTATGACCTATCTGCTCTAGCCAACGCCACCATCCTCATCCCCATTAATACCGATTCAGAAGCCCTCTTTGAGAAGCTCCCCTTTAAAAGATCCAACTTCCCCAAGTTCTACCAAATCGCAGCTTTCCACATCTTACGCATAAAACGCTATATGCCACAGCTTAAAGTGCTGAAGCCAGGGGAGGCCGTGGGTACTCAATTGAAGCAGACTCTTTATAAGAGGACTCCATTAAATGTTCCGAGGGTGTCTTTTGGGACGTCGCAAACTGCACCAGCAGTTACATGGACTACAATTATTACTCCGAGGATGTACGCTGGGCCGTATTTCGTTGCGCATGGTGTTACCAAAGTATTGATTCCGTTTGGCACCAAGGTGTGATATTCATGAGCATAGCAAAGAGTTGCGTGCTTGTATATCGAGGTGTGATGTGCTTGCATAGCACTGGATAACATGCTTGTATCACATAATCACAGCCTGTGATGTGCTTGTATAACAGTCAGTAATATGCTGTGCCTGTACCACAGCGTCATGTGTGTGATGTGTTTGCATAGCAACAGGTAATATGCTTGTATCTGACTTGCTGGCGATACAGAACACTGGCATACCCCTCTCTACTCCCACTCCCCGGACCCCAGTGGTACATGCCGTCGAAGCCCCCCTCATGGACCTCCCTCTTGCAGCCCCCATCCTGCAGGAACCCTTTCACCCTTCTCCGATGGAGACCGATCTGATCCTCAGACCGTGCGCCTTTGACGCAGAAGTAGTTACCACTCTGGCCTGCCTCACCCCACCCATCACCGTCATCAGCCCCACCTATCACCACGGCAGATAGTTCCGAGGGCACGGCCACGACCGATCCCACCGACACAGCGACGTCACCAGACGAGGTCGTGAAGTGCCCCACATGCTTGAGCTCCCTCGCGAACCGCCGAGCACTCCGACACCACATGCCTTTCTGCCACCCTGCCGACGCAGCTCGCAGGGCGCAGGCCCTCCGCGACAGGGCCTCAGCTCCACCTTCCCTAGCAGAGCCCCGAGCCTAGGGGATGCAATTCACAGATGCACAGTGGCGTACGCTTGACTCCGTTCGGTGGTCGGAGTACTTTGCCCTGGAGCGCATTCATGCCCGTCCTCTTTGGCGTATCTGTCAAGATAGCAAGCAGGAATGATTGCATTGAATGAAATGTGGGTACAAGTACTAACCCTAACTTTGGGTTGTACCCCATATGGGCTACCCCACTAAAGCATACACAGAACTAGCACATATATAGTTTGACAGTATCCCCCCGAGGGACCTGTTGGAAATAAGAAGTCGCTAGAGCGCAGCGGAAGCTCTAGGAATTATCGACGTCCCTACGGCGGGGCTATTGGTCACTCAGAGGTAGCTCTCCTGGCTTGTAACATGGTGCCAAAGCAGCGGCCGAGGGTAGGCCGGACACAAGCTTGAGAATTGTGTAATATGAGCAAGGCATTACATTCTGTTATATAGCAAACGCATAGGGCAAACAGTTACCAAGGCGCAACTGTATAACAGTTGCGTTGCGTCGCTTGGGTTGCCTTGTTACAGTCGCACTGGCGAGACTTTTCAGCTTCGGCAAGGGCGCGGTATCCTGCCGCGCCCCACAGGTCAGTTTCGCGTACTGTAGACGATGACTCCTGCTGTCGATTCGACTCTTGAGCTGCCACGCGGGTCGCAACCGCTGTGCTCGGTTGCGGCCCGTTGACTCGCCATCAGGTTCAAATCCCTCGCTATGGCGAGCCCTTGTAAGCACACTTCGAACAGTGCACTTATAATAAAAGCATACAAACATATTCTCAACAGGACCGTGGTGGGTATCTAGACATCCTCTGCGCCATCTTAGCGCGTGTCTCCCAGGACCCAGAGGCACCAGGCCCTACTCTCCTCTTGGCGGCGGCACCGACGCTCCTACTGGCTCCGGCGACATCGCCAGAGCGTTCAAACACGGCCGTCATTGCAGCGCGCATCATCCGCTTTGGACGAGGTGAGTGGCATGAGCTCATCTCTGCGGCCCTACAGCGACGTACTCCCCTTCCTTTACGAGCAGCACGGGGAGCTCGCGCTAGCACTTTCTCCCCCACACCGGATGACCGTCGCATTGCCCGCTACTTGCGTCTGGCGGCTTGCCATGAGACCTCGCGGGCCTGCGCGGCTCTGGAGTCGGCAGAGGCGGCACCTGACACGGAGAGTACGATGCAACGTCTGCGGAGCAAGCATCCCGTCGCAGAGCGACCGACTCCAGATTAGCTACCGACTTTCCAGGATACTGCCCTTGTGCTCTCTATAGATCACCTCCGCCGCGCCATCTTCACAGCCCCGCGCGGGTCGTCTGGAGAACCGACAGGCTGGGTTGCCGAGCATCTTCGAGATACCTTCCTTGCCTTTCCTGAGAGCCTCCCTAGCCTACTCGTCGTGTACCAGCTTTGGCTGCGAGGCTACTGCGCCCCGGCAGCTCGATCGCTATTGGCATCGTCCACCCTGGTCACTCTCGCGAAACCGAACCTGGATGTGCGTCCTATCGCGATAGGTGAGGTTTTGATTCGCATCCTTTCTCGCGCAGTATGCTTGCAGCTTCGGGACCAGATGGCTAGGGTTTTCCTCGCGTCACAGCAGTTTGGGGTGGGCGTTACCTGTGGGACAGAGGTCGTGGTTAGAGGCGTTCGTCGTGCCCTGGATGACCACCCTGACTGGGTGGTTCTTCAGCTGGACGTGGCGAACGCCTTTAACTCGTTTCATCGAGACGCCATATTTCAGGCCCTCTACAATAGTGCTGAGTTCCTCTGTCTTATTCCTTTTATTCGCCTTTTCTACGGGACACCCTCCGATCTCCTTTACCGGGCGAACGGAGGGGTGACCACCATACACTCGGAGCGCAGGACCCGCCAGGGCAACCCGCTCAGCCCTTTCCTGTATGCTCTCACACAGCACATGGCTCTACAGCCAGTTCTAGCTGAGGGCGATGTCTAGCTATGGTCATACGCAGATGACACTTACGTGCTGGGCCCTCCTTCCAGGGTGCTACACCACTTCGCAGAGATTGTGAGGCACTTGCGGGAGCTGGGCCTTGCGGTCCAGCCACACAAGTGTCTCATCTACGGCAGAGATTTTGTGACTTCCAGGGAGGCGGAGGTCTTCACGAGTCTGGGGATTGAGGTCGCTCGCAGAGGACTCACCATCACGGGAGTGCCGGTGGGCTCTGACGCTTTTGTGGAGAGGAGCCTACCTGAGCGTCTGGAGAGGATGGGGCGCGTGTTGCCATGGCTTCCGAGACTACGCCAGCCCCAGACAGCGGCCCGTCTACTTTCGGCATGCGTCAACACGCGACCGCAATATCTGGCGAGGACGGTCCCTCCGACCCTGGCTGTATGTGCCAGTTTTGCACGGTGGGATGAGCGGTTGGGAGAGACCTTTTAGCAGCTCCTGGTGCCTGGGACTTGGACTTGCAGAGAGGACGTTCGTGAGGCTGCCCTGGACCAGATCTACCTCCCCATACGTAGGGGGTTTTGGCATCCGACGCATGGAGCGTATTGCCCCGGTGAGTTATGCGTGCTCTTGGGTACAGTGCGCGCCGATCCTTTGCTCCCTCCCAGTGTGCGGCGCGGTCTTCCGACAGAGCTTTGCATCGGATGATGTGGACCAGATCGATCGATCACTGCGTACGGTGCTGGAGGGCCTCCCACGTGTCTCTGCTGCCCCTGATTCTCTTTTCACAGGAGAGTGAGCCGCGTCTTGGAGGCGCGGGCCTTGGAGTCAGTCCGGGCCCGTCACACTAACCCCTTGCACCTTGCCCGTTTGACATCCCTTCAGGGCGCAGGTGCAGGCGCATGGTTGACGGCGGTTCCGTACGCAGACTCGCTGCGCATCCCAGAGGCGCAGTGGCAGGTGGCCTCAGCTTTCCGTCTCGACCTCCCTATCCCCCAACTAGCCCTCGCAAGTCGGTGTTCTTGTGGGCAGGCGATCGACGATATGACGGTACCTCACCATGTGGTGCGGTGCTCCCGTTTCGGCGTCGCCACGGTCATCCACGACACCGTGAAATACATGCTCCGGGACTTTGCTTCCAAGGCAGGCTTTGCGGTGAAGGTGGAGGACACCACTTTGATTCTGCACCTGGAGGCAGCTAGACCGCGACTGCAGGGACTCTCGGGGACGGGGGACGGGGTACCGGGACAGTCAGGGGCACCGTGGGGACAGCAGCAGCAGCAGGGTGGGCTCGGTCGAGGGGCTGGTGGGCAAGAGGGCCGAGAGGGGTAGGATGGGCTGGCTAGTGGGGGAGAGGAGGGGGGACAGCAGCAGCATCAGTAGCAGCAGCGGCAGCCGCAGCAGCAGCAGCTAGGCCAGCTGGGGCAGGAGGGGCAGACCCGTAGGGGTGAGGAGAAAGGACAGCATGGACAGCAGCAGCGGGGCCGGCAGGGGCAGGAGGGGCTGGCTAGTGGGGGAGAGGAGAGGGGACAGCAGCAACAGCAGCTGCAGCAGCAGCAGCGGCAGCAGCAGCAGCCGCAAGGCCAGCAGGGACAGCAACAGCAGGTTTGTAGGGGAGAGGAGAGAGGGCAACAGCGGCAGCACCGGGAAGGTCAGCAGGGTCAACAGGGGCGGCAGCAGGAGGGTCAGCATGGGCAGCGGCGTGAGGGTCAGCAGGGGCAGGCTGGCTGGGAGGAGGAGAGGAGACAGCAACAGCAGCGACTACAGCAGGTGGGCCAGCAGGGGCAGGAGGGGCAGGCCAGTAGGGGAGCGGAGAGAGGACAGCAAGGGCAGCAGCAAGAGGGTCAGCAGGGGCAGCAGCAGGAGGGTCAACAGGGGCAACAGCAAGAGGGTCAGTGGGGGCAGGCTACTAGGGAAGAGGAGAGGGGACAGCAGCGACAGCAGCAGCAGCAACAACAACAGCATGGCCAGCAAAGGCAGGAGGGGAAGGTTGGTGGGGGAGAGGAGAGAGGACGGCACAGCTAGCAACAAGAGGTTCAGCAGGGGCAGGAGAGGCCGAAAGCTGGGAGGGCCAGACGATGGGTGGGTGCCCGCACCAGTCCCTTTGGGTGCAGGGCAGGGCAGTTGGCATCATTACCGGCTGCTTTGAGAGCGTGGCAGACATGCAGTATATGTACGATGCATATGTGTAGGCGTTTAGCGATTGTGCTTGAAAGGCTGTGTCCCGCGCTGTGGTGCGGGTTGCTGTGGTGTTTTGGTCCTTAGGTGCTTCCTTCTTTTAGTTTCTTCCTCTCTTCTTTTCCTCTTTCCACCTCTCCTTTGGCCCTTCTCTTTTTCTCTAGCTCCTCTCCTTATCACCCTTTCTCTGTTCCACCATTTCCACCTTCCTCTTATACCCCTTATCTTAATTACCATGACTTTGTATCAAACATATTCCATAATAATACCCTTGGTAATATGCTTGTACAACAGCCAGTGCCTTGTTTGAACCGTATTTACCCGAAGTTTTTGTCCCCCCAACCTTCGTGGTAGAATTATATTATAATAACAGCATGTATACTAATTAGTTTAGTATCCTTTTTGCTACAATCCCAAGTGGGACTTAGCGAAGGATCGCTCAGGGTAGTGTTGCAGCGGAAGTGTTGACCTCAGGTCAAAGTGAATGTAAATGTCTTAGATTGATAATAGCATGCATACATCGAGTTTCTATAGGAAAAATACGAAACGACCTAGACTAGCCATGTACTCTAAAGGGTACATTCCCTTATTACAGCGAAATTCAAACCGTGCGGCGTGGGTGCTCGTTTCAAACCTGTTCCCGCTCTTTTCAATTCAAATGCTTCAGCCTGCATCGGTCTTGGTCAGACGGTTACCAGCGTCGCTTCGACTCTTCTGATTCCTCGACTTCGTACTCGGTAGAGTCGGCTTCTGCAGCATACATGAATGTCTTCTCATAAAGTTTCATATCATAACACTCCCCTTCATTCCTGGGCGCGCAGGGGGCTGACTCGTTTGACTAGTCCGGTGAGATCGGAGCAATGCTTGTACTGCTGACGTGTCAGTCGCGTGGTGAGAAAGTCGGCTGCCATCTCGGTGGTAGGGCAGTACGCGAGGTCAACTTTGCCCTGGTCAATTTCATCCTTGACGAAAAAAGTACCAAAGCGCGATGTGTTTCGTGCGGTTCGCGAATCCTGGCTTGTTCGCGATCTTGATGGCACTCTGGTTGTCGCAGTGAAGGCGAAAGGTGGGCGAGTTGTGATTTTTGCTTCCTGCAGCAGCTCCTGCAGGTACAGACCTTCGCGAATTGCTGCTGTCGTAGCGATGTATTCTGTTTCGGCCGATGACAGGGCAACCATCTTCTGCTTTTGTGAGTTCCAGGAGATTGGTCCTATTGGCTCCAGGCGGAAACAAAGTCGGTTCGTGACCTTTGATTCGCAGGATCAGCGGCATGATCTGCGTCCACGTAGTCGTTGAGGTTGAAGGAGGTTGTCGTCAGCGTGGAGTAGGAGAGCCCAATGTCAGTTGTGGAATGAAGTACTGCAGGGCGCGCTTCAGGTCCAGCTGGTTCTCAGCTACTGGCTTGCGAGAGTAGTGTGCCAGTTGGCTGGCATTGTACGAAAGGTCGGGTTTGCATGTGACAGAGGCGAACAACAGGCACCACAGTTGCTGCTGGTACAGTTCGAGTCCTGCAGGCGATAGAGGTTTGTTTTCCGGTTTGTAGTTGGCGCTGGGGTTATGGTAAGGAGTTCACAATGGTGCGGGTGAGATGTTGAAGCGTTCCCCCAGCTGCTCTGCGTACTTGGAGGCTGACAGGTGAATTGCTTCTAGCACATAAGTGATGTTCAGCCCCAGAAACTGTGTGACGCTGTGGTTGATGCTACACCAGGTTTTCCTCGAACTGGTTAAGGAGCTTATTGCAGGTGCCTGTGTAGAGCAGGTGCCTGTGTAGACAGTCAAGAGGATGTAATCGCCATTGAAGTGGAGGCGGTACCTTCCCGGGTCGTGTGGCAGCTGCCTGAAGCCAATTTCCAGAAGGATTTTGTGCAGGTGCTGTTGCCAGAGACGCGGCGCCTGCTTTATCCCGTAGAAGGATTTTTTCAGCTGACAAACCCTAGGATCTCCTTCTCCGTAGGTGTCCGGCTGCTCCACGAAGATAGTTGCATCCACCAGCGCGTATACGAACGCCTTCTTCACGTCGATCTGCCGCAGTAGCAAATGCTTAGCAGCGGCAATAGCGAGTAGAATCCTGACGGAGGTGTGACGTCTGACGGGGGCAAAGGTTTGATCAAAATCAATGCCGTGGCGCTGGTCGTACCTGCGTACGACCCAGCGTGCCTTAAAACGCTCGATAGTGCCATCAGCATTAGTTTTCAGACGGAAAACCCGCTTTCCACTTAGCACCCTCCTCCCCTTCACTGCTGCACGATCAACTGGAACCCACGTGTCGCATGATTCCAGCGCCTTCAGTTCTGCGTCCATAGCAACACGCCACTCCTTGGCGTGAGGACCGGCTAGGGCCTGGCGAGGGTTCTTGGGCTCGACGGCGTGCATGAGGGTACTAACGATCGTGCGTAGGCCGAGAAGCTGCAGGCCAGACATGTTGGTGGTGTCTGTGGCGTCCGTGGTGGTGACCTCCACCACATCATCATCTTCACTCTCATTTTCAGGTGCGGAGGTGCTGGGTTGAGTGTGGCGACGGGATGGTACTGGTGTAGGAGTGTCATCGTCGTCATCATCGTCGTGTCGTCGTACGGGCGAGGTGGTACACCAAGGTGTTCGTCGGCGGGGTCGCAGTCGAATGCTGCTGCTGCTGCCTCGTCTTCAGGGGATGCAAATCTGTGGCCGCTGTTGGCATAGGCACGTGCGACGTTGCAACGCTGATCTTCGATCCACTGCTCCAAGGTGAGACGCTCGTAGAAGAGAACGTCACGAGCGGGGACGATTTGTTTGTTGTCAATGTCAAGAAGCAACCAACCCTGGTACTCATGATTGAGCCCTAGGTGGACTCCCCAGCGTGTGCGGTAAGTGAACTTGCCGGTTGTGGCCGATGTCGGCCGATACTGCACCACGCACCCCCAGACCCTCAGCATGGAGGTGTCTCCCCTCGAGCCAGTCCACTTCATGTGCAAGGAGAGATTGCCCTTATTGGCCGTGGTGGAGAGGAGGTTGTGCAGGCCCACAACGTGGTTCATGGCGTACGGCTAGTATTTCTTGGGTAAGCCGGACTGGTTCATGAGGGCGCGCACTTTCGTCACGAGGGTGTGGTTGACTCTCTCAGCGACGCATGGCTGCTGGTGAGCATAGGGGAGTGAGATTTGATGCTTGATCCCCTTCTCTGCGACAACGCTCTCCAGTTCGTGGCTGCGAAATTCCTTAGCACCGTCAGTCTGCCAGATTTTCAGCTTCTTCCCTGATTGTCGTTGTGTGTGTGGGAGCCAGATGCGGAAGACTTCAGGAGCCTTTGAGCGAACGTCGACGTTGGCGATCCAGACGTGACGTGAGTATGCATCCACGAAGGTGAGTGTGTATCGTTCGTCGTTGATGCCGTCGAAGGTGAGCACGATAAAGTCGCTGTAGACTTTCTGTAGTTTCTTGTAGCAATTGGTGCTCGGCTCCAAGGAAGGGTAGGCTTGGTGCGTGAGAGCCGCAGTGAGACAGATGGTGCACGTGGTTGGGTGTGACGTGCTGAACGGTTCCGTGCCGTCAGGGCGCAGCAACCTCCTGGCAGGAAAACTTTAGCGCGAAGGCAGTTGTTGAATGTCTGACGCGAGGGGTGGCCGAGTCGCTAATGCCAGAGATCGTCCTCTGCGCGAATTCCGTGAGTGCGCAGGTAACGTGCGTGGTATTCTGCCGCCTCTGCTTCTGTCTCGTGGGGTATTTGGAGTACTGGTCCTTCTTCTGGTCTTGCTTCGTTGTCCGGCTCCTCTGCTTCTCCTTTTGTTTTTGTCCCCCCTTCTGCAGGTGCCGTCGTGAGGTAGATTGCGAGAAAGTTGCGGTCAGGGATGATGTTGAGTGGAGTCTTGGTGCCTTCGATGAAGCGGGCGAATGTATCTGGGCAAGAGATTGGCCCAAGCGAGTTACGGGAAGGAGATGGTGGCACGTTCCCCTCCTCAATCTCCGACCAGGTCCTTCCGCGGCGATAAGGTGAGCAGGGTGGTGAAGGGAGGTCGCGCGGGGAATGGCCTAGTGGGATGGTGACTCGCGGGGGAGGTCTTTCGGCAGCCATCTCCCTCTCTACTTCCTTGATTTCTTCCTGGGTAAGCTCGCCTTCTGCAAGTTCTCGGCATTCGGCGTTTCCCCATCCGTCAGTTCTCCAGCCTTGAGCGGTGCCCAAAGCACCGGTGGCGGATCCCCATGTTGCTGTGGTGCCCTCGTTGTCGTTGCCTCCCCATCCACCGCGTCGAGCTGGACTCTTCATCCCATCCTGCTGCTACGCGCTCCTCATACAACTTTGCCTTCTTCTCTGCCTGTGCCTTGTCTTCCATTTCTTTGACGCTTAACTCCTCTTTTGCGTCATGATCTTTCGATGCCTTGTCGTTGAGGTTGCGGCAAACGTCGCGGTTGTAGGGTCGCGGACGATTTTCCTCGTCAAAGGTTGTGCCGTGCGCTTCCTCCAAGATCCAGCGGAGGGTTTCGGTGCGCGGTGTTGGTCGCTGCTGCTCAGTCAACCCCAATCTTTCGTCTCCAGTCCCAAAAATGCGGTGAGTGGTGATGGCGAGTTCCATCTCTGTCGTGTAGGTTCCGCCTCGGCGCTTTCCGCCTCTTGAATCGCCGCAAGATCTCACTCTACTTCTTCTATGCGGCTTGCTGTGGATGTGTGGCAGGTGGCGCAGAGTCTGTCGAGGCCAGGTTGGTGCAGGCTTATCTCACGAGGTTGAGGGCTGCGGCGAATCCACGGTCGACCGTGCGGGTGCTGCCATGACTCCACGTTCAGGCATGAGAAGTCCAAGGGGACGAGGTCCACAAGCTCGTCTGATGATGCCTGGGACGAGGTCCACAAGCTCGTCTGATGATGCCTGGTAGTT